TTTTGATTTGAGAATACATAGGAATATTAATGAGAAAAACGTGAACAAATTAATATGCAGTAATTATACTAGTTAACATATATGTTATATGCTGCAAACATTTTTATGATATAAATGTTTATATGGCACTTAAGAAAGAATTGAAAAATCGATATGATCCAATTAATGGACAATTATATTAACATCGTATAGAATGACAACAAGACCAAACCTAGGGAAACCCCTGATCAAACACCAGAGGTAGCGAGGCTGCTTAGGTACTTAAAGGAGACCTGGCAAAGAATGCAACATCCCTGGGTCACTTATACACAAAGTAACATCAGCTAGAGAAATGGTTTGTGGAACACAATGTATCTAACAATTTGATGAACCAAGAACCGACTGGGCAGATATCAGAATATTCATAAAGTCAAATACACATACAAAAGTTACAAAAATTAATAAATAGAATTGAAAAATAAATTTTACATATTAATATTTTTTGATGATTAGTCAAGAGAAAAAAAGTCTTGAGAATCTCCTCCAAAACATAACATTGAGCAACATTTATCAAACAGTAACAAGAACAAAAAAAAAACAAAACAAAACAAAAACAAAAGCTTGTCCCAGGATCATTAGAAAATCAACATTTGTGGAGTTCCTTTTCTGAATTAAACAGTCCAATCTTAAAATGTAATTTTACCTGTACAGGTGAACTGAAGATAAAAGATAAAAACATATTTCTGTTATTTGAGAACAGGACTAGCTTTTTGGTCATGATCCTCGGTCCAGCCATGAGTATATTAAAAATTGGCGTATTGCCCAGCAGCTAGCTTTACTTACAATCACAGGCATAGCTATCAATCATATATTTTATATTTCATAATTGAAATTTTAATATCAACAATAAATATGAAAAATAATTTAAAGTGAAAAATTAAGTTAAAAGAAAACATGCTGAAATGAATTGAATATAGTTAGATTATAAATAATGATCTACAAAACGATTAATGAAGTCATAATGAAAAATAACGTAATATCTTCCTTAACCGTTCATAGATTAAACAGTTGACATAATGAAATCAAACAGAAGAGTGCAGAAAACTCACAATCTGGACATTTTTGTAGGAAACTGAGCTGACCCAACTATTAAGGAATCGTTATATATATAACTACAGCTAGCCTTCAGATTCAGTATTCAGACAGCCAGGAATGTAATCCCAGAATGCACGATTTTAAGATACATTTCATACATATATCATACATATATATCAATATATTTATACATCTCAAGTAACATCGAAGGATTCAGTAATAATTTTGTAGACTTGTGCGTCAGTGATATCCCACTGATTTACATAAGGTTTATTGATAGTGTCTTGTCACTGTGATTTCTTTCCGAAAGTGTGGACATGTGGATGGAGAATTAATTCCTCAAAGTATGTTTAACTCTGCGTCAGTCACATTCAATTTGTAGAATAATTCCTTGATAAAAACTCATGACAATAATTATGCATTTTGATGGTTTGTTCAAAGTAAATCCATTCTAGAGAAAATAGAAGAACAGTATATGAAAATTCTATTAATCATTTTGGCAATATATGTGTTACTTGCCATATTAAAGTACAAATACATTATATAAAACATCTCTACATATCCCATGTATATACAATATGTCCCAAAACTCTGCTAGATACAAGAATGTATACAGTATTGAACTTTGCACCTTCAAGAAGGTATGCATCAAGAAAGATAATACTTGTGTGTTATTATCTAAAAATCTATTTTTCTTTATGTACTACCTTTAAGGTTTTCCATCTTCTTTTTTAATTGTGCGTTTTAAGTATAATTTGATGTAATTCAAATGATATAACTTAAATTTTGAATATTGGAATGAAATTTGGTTTAAATTTCAAATGATAAAGCTGATAACCTTAGAGAGCATGTCCACAGTAATTAGTTGGAAATACTACAATTATCATAATTAGGACTATGTAATTAACATTTATGTTACAAAATCAAATATCTCTTATATCAATTAAGAAAATAGGATACAAAAATTTTAGAAAGTTTTATAATCACACAAGACATTATCATTACATTAGTGAGGTATTTGGTGGTATTATCTGGTAATATTTACCACTGTATGGCATTGATAAGATGTAATCTTACCAACATCTATTGTGTATTACCAGTTCATGAACTGCCAACAGCAGAGAAGAAAACTGAAGTTGTCTTCCCTTATGACAAGACAAGCATTGAAAACGGTAAATATAAGCATTGCACTGCTTCTATTTGGCATTCATATGTTGTGAATGGCAACAGGACGAATGCAAATTCAAGAAGCTGTGCATCATTGAATTTGCTGTGCTGCGTGAATGCCAAATGAAAACAAATCAATGCTTAAATGACCTTCTGTAGTGAGAATCACAACTCATGTAGCACCTGACTTTACATACAGGAAATAAATCACACAGGTATGATGTCATGTATTTTACAACGTTTTAAGGAAAATATCCGAGTAATTTTATCAAAACTGCTTACAAAAGAAAAATGGGTTCACATTTATAGATTGAAAAGAATAAATCAACAATATGATTTACCAAACAGATTGGGCAGTTGGGTAGCACAGTGATAACATACCAGTTTTCCATCTGATTAAACCGGACTCCATTATCTAATTAGAAAAGGTATGGAATCATGATCATGTGCTCAATAACACAAGTTTTCCTCGTTAGTCAGGTTACCTCACACAGTAAAACTCCACACTCTCTGCTACCCAGCAAGAGATACCAAAAGTTGGTCAAATGAATTTCACAACTTTAAAAAAAAAATTCTAGTTTATAGTAAAGTTCATCAAAGAGATTTCAACTCCAAGAGGTAAAAGTCAGTCTAGTGGTCTTACAGCGTCCAATCTAGTGGTCACACAGCGTCCAGTCTAGTGGCCACACAGCGTCCAGTCTAGTGGCCACACAGCGTCCAGTCTAGTGGTCACACAGCGTCCAGTCTAGTGGTCACACAGCGTCCAGTATAGTGGTCACACAGCGACCAGTCTAGTGGTCACACAGCGTCCAGTATAGTGGTCACACAGCGTCCAGTCTAGTGGTCACACAGCGACCAGTCTAGTGGTCACACAGCGTCCAGTATAGTGGTCACACAGCGTCCAGTCTAGTGGTCACACAGTGTCCAGTCTAGTGGCCACACAGCGTTCAGTCTAGTGGTCACATAGCGTCAAGTCTAGTGGTCACACAGCGTCCAGTCTAGTGGTCTCACAGTTAGTCTAGTGGTCACATGGTATATCAGTCTAGTGGTCACACAGTGTCTAGTCTAGTGGTCACACAGTGTCTAGTCTAGTGGTCACATGGTATATCAGTCTAGTGGTCACATGGTATATCAGTCTAGTGGTCACATAGTATATCAGTCTAGTGGTCTTACAGCGTTCAGTGTAGTGGTCACACAGCGTCCAGTCTAGTGGTCACACAGCGTCCAGTCTAGTGGTCACACAGAGACCAGTCTAGTGGTCACAAAGCGTCCAGTCTAGTGGTCACACTGCGTCCAGTCTAGTGGTCACACAGCGTCCAGTCTAGTGGTCACACAGCGTCCAGTCTAGTGGTCACACAGTGTCCAGTCTAGTGGCCACACAGCGTTCAGTCTAGTGGTCACATAGCATCAAGTCTAGTGGTCACACAGCGTCCAGTCTAGTGGTCTCACAGTTAGTCTAGTGGTCACATGGTATATCAGTCTAGTGGTCACACAGTGTCTAGTCTAGTGGTCACATGGTATATCAGTCTAGTGGTCACATGGTATATCAGTCTAGTGGTCACATAGTATATCAGTCTAGTGGTCTTACAGCGTTCAGTGTAGTGGTCACACAGCGTCCAGTCTAGTGGTCACACAGCGTCCAGTCTAGTGGTCACACAGCGACCAGTCTAGTGGTCACACTGCGTCCAGTCTAGTGGTCACACAGCGTCCAGTCTAGTGGTCACACAGCGTCCAGTCTAGTGGTCACACTGTGTCCAGTCTAGTGGTCACACAGCGTCCAGTATAGTGGTCACACAGCATCCAGTCTAGTGGTCACACAGTGTCCAGTCTAGTGGCCACACAGCGTCCAGTCTAGTGGTCACACAGCGTCCAGTCTAGTGGTCACACAGTGTCCAGTCTAGTGGTCACACAGCATCCAGTCTAGTGGTCACACAGCGTCCAGTCTAGTGGCCACACAGCGTCCAGTCTAGTGGTCACATGGTATATCAGTCTAGTGGTCACATGGTATATCAGTCTAGTGGTCACACAGTATATCAGTCTAGTGGTCTTACAGCGTCCAGTGTAGTGGCCACACAGCGTCCAGTCTAGTGGTCACACAGCGTCCAGTCTAGTGGTCTCACAGTTAGTCTAGTGGTCACATGGTATATCAGTCTAGTGGTCACACAGTGTCTAGTCTAGTGGTCACATGGTATATCAGTCTAGTGGTCACATGGTATATCAGTCTAGTGGTCACATAGTATATCAGTCTAGTGGTCTTACAGCGTCCAGTGTAGTGGTCACACAGCGTCCAGTCTAGTGGTCACACGGCGTCCAGTCTAGTGGTCACACGGCGACCAGTCTAGTGGTCACACGGCGTCCAGTCTAGTGGTCACACAGCGTCCAGTCTAGTGGTCACAAAGCGTCCAGTCTAGTGGTCACACAGCGTCCAGTCTAGTGGCCACACAGCGTCCAGTCTAGTGGTCACACAGCGTCAAGTCTAGTGGTCACACAGCGTCCAGTCTAGTGGTCTCACAGTTAGTCTAGTGGTCACATGGTATATCAGTCTAGTGGTCACACAGTGTCCAGTCTAGTGGTCACATGGTATATCAGTCTAGTGGTCACATGGTATATCAGTCTAGTGGTCTTACAGCGTCCAATGTAGTGGTCACACAGCGTCCAGTCTAGTGGTCACACAGCGTCCAGTCTAGTGGTCAGACAGCGACCAGTCTAGTGGTCACACAGCGTCCAGTCTAGTGGTCTCACAGTGTCCAGTCTAGTGGTCACACAGTGTCCAGAAGTGTTGTGTATAGCACATTGACCCATAGTCGACCCTTAGTAGGTCTGGCTGCTTCTTTCCCTTTGCCCATTAAGGGCAATCCAATCAATTTGCTGCCTCCCTTGAAGGAACTCCTTTGTGTCATAGACAGAGTACACATTCCCATGAAGTCATCCTTTATCAGGTTGTGGTTCCACACCTGGAAAATTATCAGCAAAATAAAACTGAAGAAATCTGACATGATCTGCATACATGTACAATGTTACGGAATGTATTATTGGATGATTTCACTGAACAGTAATATATATGGTTGGACTTATTACCAAATAGGCTTATTGGCTGATAAATATTGTATGTTGTCATTTCACAGGACACCATCATTACAGTTATAATCCTGAATGGGTATAAATGATACCCAAAAACTCTATAATTAACTGGAATTAATGTTAATTTCCCCAATTAAAACAAAATCTTTTTTATTCAACACTTAATTAAATTATCTTCTGTACATAAGTCTATAATTAACTTGAATTAATATTAATTTCCCCGATTTAAAAAACAACAAACTTTTTTTATCCAAGATTTCTGATTTGTGATTTATACTAAAGGACAATCACATTTGGCACTTTAAATTGAATAATCATTTTTACATAAATCTAAACTTGAATTAAAGTTGATATCACTATTTTAAAAAAAAATCTAATCATGCTCATTAGCTTTTTAGGAACATACATATTTTTGTGATCAGGGACTGTAACAGCGTTTACCTCTAAAGTGACATTCTCTTTTGGTGTCTTTTGGTAAAATGTGACTCGCTCGTCAAACTTTGGATTGAGGTCATTGGCTATCACTGGTGTCTTCACTTTCTCCTTCTCACAACGGACAATAACAAACGGGTCAGACTCTATAACACAGATCCACAAGTAATTAGACAGCATTATCATGATTTGATAAATACTTCCAAAATTTATCAGGTAATAGTTTTTTTTTTATTTGAAAATTATTATTTAAAAGATATTAGCCCATCAAAGTATGACTCTGGCTGTTGTGGGGACACTGAATCTGTAAATTGGATAAATTTTCATTATTATCAACACAATTGCTAAAGTAATTATTCTAAATTGCTAATGTATTAATAATCTTAAAAAGAAAAAGAAGAAAAAAATGAAAAAGCACATTACAGAATTATGCACTCATTACCTAAATATCTTGAAATGTAACTTGTACACAACCATTTCAAAGTGACCTTTGACCTTTAAACATGACCATTGACCACCAGAATCTTTCCATGTGTAGATTTTGATGGTTTAAATGGTGTAAATATGAACTTAATTTGTTAAAGGGTTGATGTGATATCTTCTACACAATGTTTTTCTTTCAAAAGTGGTCTACAGTGACCTTTGACCTTAAAACTTGACCATTGACCACAGAAATCTTACAATATGCATATCTTGACAGTGTACCATAATGTAAATCTGAAGTAACCTTGTCCAGCTATTCATACCTTGTACACAAGCTATACACAGATGTATGGACAGACACACAGATGCACAGACAAAATGATTAGGACATTTTGCCTAAACTAAGTTGGGATAATTACAGTTTAATTTACTCCTGAGTTCCTTATTTTGTCCTAAATTGAATTTCGTTCCAAGGTTGTTATAGAAACTGAACTGCTGTTTGAATGTGAAAGACATTTGAACTCTGTGGGCTTGAAATAATACAGCAATGTAATTTGTTAGGGCAATTCTGTTAGCCATACACCATATCAAGTTATGGGCAAAACATGATTCTTGGAACTTTGATTTTAAAGAAGAAGTTGGTTATGAAAACAACTTAATGCCTGATAGAAATGGCAAGATATCGCCACCACATAACTCCATATAAGCACACAAAGAGTAAATAACTCAGACAACATGACATCTTTATGCCAACAGCTGCTGTGTATACTTACTTCTGTCTAAGTCCATACCCTCCAATCCTTCTCCACTACTGATAAGAATTTGTAAGGCTGACTTGTAAGTTTTACACATATAAAACGGACTGCAGCAACATCCACTATTTCTGTCTGGCTCCTCGAGAGTAAGTTCCCTGCAGACAAATAACTCCATACATGTATACAAGTCATACAGAAATATGTTTGTTCAGTGTTACATGTGTGTTTGCATGGCTGATAATACAAGTTTAGGATTTGATTACAATTTATGGCAGCACTGATGATAGGTTCCTGTTAATTTCCATAAAATATATTATCACTGCTAGTAATTATTTACTTACTTTAAGTTTGGACTGCTACTTGCATACAACCGAAGGAAAAACTCGCCTTCAAAACCAGGATCAAAAGTTGACGGAATTACACAATATTTCCCCTGTTTTAGTTTTGCTCTCGTCATTACACTGCGAGATTTTACAAATGATGACGAATGTGCTTCTCTCATCGAGTCATGCATTCTGTAGACTCTGTTTAAGTCAGTCTGAAACGGACAGAAGAATATATATATAATATAAATATTTGCTTAGAAACTGCGCTTTTCCATACTTCAAGCTCACTCAACTTAGATAAAAAAAAACATTATATCAACTTTTAATTGTTTTACAAAAATTGTTAAACAAGTTTACCAACTTATATTAATCCTTCTTGTTGGCCTGTATGGAAGCATACGAAGGGTCTTAGTGAGGGAGGAAACCAGAGTGCCCGGGGAAAACACACACGAGGGGTCTTAGTGAGGAAGGAAACCAGAGTACCCAGGGAAAACACACATGAGGGGTCTTAGTGAGGGAGGAAACCAGAGTGCCCGAGGAAAACACACACGAGGGGTCTTAGTGAGGGAGGAAACCTGAGTACCCGGGGAAAATACACACGAGGGGTCTTAGTGAGGAAGGAAACCAGAGTGCCCGGGGAAAACACACACGAGGGGTCTTAGTGAGGGAGGAAACCAGAGTGCCCGGGGAAAACACACACGAGGGGTCTTAGTGAGGAAGGAAACCAGAGTACCCAGGGAAAACACACACGAGGGGTCTTAGTGAGGGAGGAAACCAGAGTGCCCGAGGAAAACACACACGAGGGGTCTTAGTGAGGGAGGAAACCTGAGTAACCGGGGAAAATACACACGAGGGGTCTTAGTGAGGGAGGAAACCAGAGTGCCCGGGGAAAACACACACGAGGGGTCTTAGTGAGGGAGGAAACCAGAGTGCCCGGGGAAAACACACACGAGGGGTCTTAGTGAGGAAGGAAACCAGAGTACCCAGGGAAAACACACACGAGGGGTCTTAGTGAGGGAGGAAACCAGAGTGCCCAAGGAAAACACACACGAGGGGTCTTAGTGAGGGAGGAAACCTGAGTACCCGGGGAAAACACACACGAGGGGTCTTAGTGAGGGAGGAAACCACAGTGCCCGGGGAAAACACACACGAGGGATCTTAGTGAGGGAGGAAACCAGAGTACCCAGGGAAAACACACACGAGGGGTCTTAGTGAGGGAGGAAACCTGAGTACCCAGGGAAAACACACACGAGGGGTCTTAGTGAGGGAGGAAACCTGAGTGCCCGTGGAAAACACACACGAGGGGTCTTAGTGTGGGAGGAAACCAGAGTGCCCGGGGAAAACACACACGAGGGATCTTAGTGAGGGAGGATACCAGAGTGCCCAGGGAAAACCCACAAAGTCAGGCAAGTGACCCCATACCTGTTTACGTCCATTCTTGGAGTTAACCCCAAACAGATTAGTGAAAGGTGAGTGTTTTACCATGGTGCCATCCGACCACCACAAAAACATTGATGCCCCTGCTGGCAAATGAGGTCAAGTTTGGAGCATTTTGATGTTTCTGGTTTTTGTGGTGATGTGTGCTGTGACTCAGTAAACAAAATTGATGTTCTGCTTACAGAATATAGGGCAAAAAATCCCCGATAGAATGGGCAGCCATTTTGTTTACGGTAAATCAGTGGCATTCTGCTAATATTTTATTTCACAAACTTATATACCTCTGTAGATATATTTGCTAATTCAGGATTTCACGATTGCTGATCTAAAAATGACGTAAAATTTGCAAATGAGACCAGCACTCTAGAATTCAGTATTGGTAACCAAATCAACATGGATGCCATCCAGAGTTATTTTCCTACAAATAACCACCGTGAGGACTACTTTGAATTCGAGACTGTATCTCCCCACATTTCAATGCAAAAATAAATCCCACAGAAAATACAAGAGATTTACAATAAATGAACAAACTGGTTTTTAGCATGTTAAAGGTAATCTTTAAGGGGTAGCAATCAAAACAGACCTATGAGTATTAATACAGGACTTAAAGGGGCAACAAAATGAAATCAGTAGGTCCGCAACACTGGTCCAACTGGTAAAATTGATAAACAAAAACAGCATTTGCAATCTCTTTTAAATCCTCGCTGGAATTTACTGCAAGACTTTCAAATATTGGTCTTTCAAATGCTGTTAAATCTTTCGATAAATGTTTTAAAGTTAAATGGCCATAACTCTGGGGAAAAATTAACAAACCATTTTACTTTTAAGATTCCAATGAAATCAGAAAATGATGTGTGGTTAGGTGGTGCAGAGGTACTGCACTCCCCTTTCACTTAGCCGTCAGGTGTTTGATTCCTGGAACGAACATGAGAAGGTAAGGGGGTCACCTGCCTAACCACATAGGCTTTCCCCGGGTACTCTGGTTTCCTCCCACAGTAAGATCCCTCGTGCCCTCACATTCAGGCAAACAAGAGTTGTTTCTCAATTGTTGTAAAATAAATAAAGTTTATATTACATTATGGTAAAAAAAAACACTACTGGTACATTACCACAGTTGTATAACAACATCTGTTAAAGGGTAAATAAGGAGAAACACAATTAGGACCAGAGAATGGAACAGCTAACAACCTAGAGGTCTATTGGAAAACAATTTCACTTTTTCTATAATTCATTACCCGAGTTGTTCTCATGTCACTACAATTTTTTAATACAATTGTATGTTTTATGTTTTTCTGTTATTCACATCTGACAGGATTCAATTTAATTTGTAAAAAGTTTTGTTACCATATACTGACAGTTAATAAAACAAGAGGCCCAAGGGGCCTTAACGGTCACCTGAGGAATATATGTCAATAATCTGGGGATTTTAAAATGTTGCAAAAATGTAACAACACTTGTGCAGGACCGTGTGTATGGGGATGCTTTGTGCCAAGTTTGGTCAAAATCCATCCACTGGTTCTTGAGAAGAAGTCATTTAAAGAATGTTTTTACATATGGCCCCTTTTACACCCCTTATGGGCCCCAAAGGGACATAATCACTTTTTTCAACATAATTTCATATGTCCTTTACTAAGGGATGCTTTCTATCAAATTTGGTTGAAATTGGTAAAAGTTGAATTTTCTACCTTTTTGAGCACCCCCTAGTGATGCCGTTTTTGACCTGATTTTTTTTTCATTCGCAAACTTTGTAGACCTTACCATAAGAACCCTAAATGTCAAATATGAACTTAATCTGACTGTTGGTTCAAGAGAAGAAAATTTTTAAAGATTTACCTAATTTTACCCCCCTTTTTCCCCTCCTGGGGCCCCTATTGGGGCCACGCCCTTTTTCTTCGCAACCTTCCATGGGGTTGCTTTGTGCCAAGTTTGGTCAAAACCCATTCAGTGGTTCTTGAGAAGAAGTGAAATATGTGAAAAGTTAACGACGCACGATGACAGACAAATCATGATAGCAATAGGTAACCATTAGCCTTCGGCTCAGGTGATCTAAACACCAAAGCTTTTCTTGATACAGAAACATAGACCTTTTAAAAATAGATAAATACATGTCTCAAGCAAGTTTCACAAATCTGTGAAATATTTCTGAATTTTCTCGATTTTCTTTTACTTAATAATGCAATAATCCCATGAAACTGCTGGATCACCACAAAAAAGGTTATGGGAAATAACGGTGCCATTATATGTAAAAGTGAAAGACAATGGAAATATGAGGGGGTCAATTTTATCTTCAACTGTGGATGGCACATTGACCCATGTCCAGTTATTCTCACAACACATGAGGAGACAAGTTTAACATAAGTTATTAATCAGGGTGGTAATTTGTCGTCTTCTATTAATATTAAACGAGGCTGTAGGCAAGGGGACCCGATCGCCCCATATTTATTTATACTTTGTGTAGAAATCTTGGCCCTGAGATTGCGGAATAATGTTAATATAAAAGGTATGGATATTGATAATTGTCCAATTTTAGTTTCTCGGTATGCAGATGATACCTCCCTCATTTTAGATGGTCCAGAACAATCTTTGACAGAAGCAATTAAGGAACTTGATGAGTATGCAAAAATTTCAGGGTTGAAAATTAATGTAGAGAAAACACAGGTAGTGTGGATAGGTAATAAAAAATATAGTGAAGATTCATTTTTACCAGATTTCAATTTACAGTGGGGAATGAATAAATTTACACTTTTGGGAATTATTTTTAGTGTTAATCTTCACGAAATTCCAAAGCTGAATTTTGACAAAAAACTCATCAGGTTAAAATCATTGATTAAACAATGGAGCAGAAGGTCTTTAACTCCAATTGGTAGAATTCATGTCATCAAATCCTTGCTTATATCACAGTTTAATCACCTTTTTATTTCACTTCCAAATCCAAATGAAAACCTTATTAAAAAATTGAATTCCATTTTATTTCAATATTTATGGAATGGGGGGTCAGATAAAATTAAGCGAGATGTTGTTGTTCAACACCATGTCAATGGAGGTCTTAAGATGGTTAATATAGATGCCTTCATGAGCTCTTTAAAATTAAGTTGGATAAGGAGGTTATTTCAAACCACTGAAAAATGGCAGGCTATTTTAAAAACCTATATTGATATTGATTTGCTGGCAAATTGTGGTAGTGAATATATACAGTTATGTATAAGTAAATGTAAAAATCAGTTCTGGAAAGATGTTTTTAAATCATGGTATAAATTCATTGTGCAAAGAGATAATTTGGAAAATAATGAGTTAATCTCCAAAATACCACTCTGGTATAACAAAAAAATATGTATTGGGGGGAAACCTATTTTTTACAAGGATTGGTACAAGAAGGGTGTGATCAATATATGTGATGTTTTAAAAGAAGTTGCTCCAGTGTCTTTTTATACCTTAAATGAGTTTACATGTAAATATCACATTGCTACAAATTTTCTTCAGTACCACAGCTTCATATCTTCAATAAAAGATTTTATCTCTTCATATGATTTAACTTTATTGAACATAGCTTACCCATTCATTCCTGTAAACATACAACCCTTTTTTAACCTAGTTAGAGGTACAAAACTATTTTATGATATCTTGATTAAGAATGATGTGGCACCGTCTTGTAAATTGAAATGGAATCAAGAATTTGACGATATTAATGACGAAGAATGGGCCAAAATTTTCAAGATCCCCTTCCATACTACAAAAAATTCAAAACTTCAATGGTTCCAGTTCAGAGTAGTTCATCATATTCTGACAACAAATTCTTTTCTCTGTAGAATTGGTCTGGTTAGCTCACCTCTCTGTATTTTATGTAACTCTGAAAGAGAAACTATTACTCATATTTTATGGGAATGTAATGAAGTACAGAATTTACTACAAAGTTTTGAAATACTATTACAGGCATTACTTATTCCTTTTTCAATTAATAAAAAATCTTTCTTCTTTGGAATTTTTTCAAGTTCCCATATCAATAGGGTAGATAATGAAATTATAATTATCATGAAGCAGTATATATATAGAATGAGGTGTCTGCATAATTCTTTGCATATACCGGTAAACTCATTGGTAAACTCCATTAAAGACAATTACAAAGTCCACAAATATATTGCTGTTAGTAAGGGCGATACTGTTAAGGAGAAGTTTGATGTAGAATGGAGTAAATGGAAAAGGTTAATTGACATGTAGTCGAATTCTGATAAATTCTACTTGTAAATTTTATCCTCAAATATATAATATATATTTATACGAAAGTAGGATGTTTCCAAACCCTTGACAAGGCCATTCTTATCCTCTCAGTCTTCCATCCATTTCTTTCATCTTTTTTCTTAAATGCTTTTCCTATTTCTCACTGTTTTTTTCTGTCCAGTAAATTATGTGCAATACATATCTGAAAAATTTGTTGGCATCTGTGTCCTTTTTTTGTTTTTTGTTTTTTTAGTCAGCATTTCTGATATTAAATACACCATCTCTTGAAATCTTTGGTTACTGCTCCCTGGAGTTGATGTATGCTGTTAAGATTACTGAATTTTGTGAGGTGTGAAATGGTGTGGATAGTGATGTAGTGAATGAGAATTATGATTGTGATGATGATGAGGGTATAATGGTGGTGGTGGTGATAAGGATCATGATAATAATGAAATGGTGATGATGATCTTGATTTGTAATGATGATGATGATGATGATGACGATGATGATGATGATGATGATGATGATGATGATGATGATGATGGTTGTGGTGATGATGGTTGTGGTGATGATGATAATGATATTGATTTGAGATGATGAAGTTGGTGGTGGTAGTGGAGGTGATGTGATGATGATGATTGATACCTAATGATGGTGTGATGAGGATGATTATAGTGATGATAAGTGTGATGATGATGAGGATGATATTGAATTGTGATGATGATGATGATGATGATGATGATGATGATGATGATGATGATGATGATGATGATGATGATGATGATTGATGATGATGATGATGACGATGACGACGATGATGATGATGATGATGATGATGATGATGATGATGATGATGATGATTAGGATGGTGATTGTGTGGTGATGATGATAATGATGATGTGTATTGTACATTAAAATGGAAATAAAAAGATAATTACAAAAAAAAAGTTTAACACAAGCTATCGTAGATGTATCAAGATTTTAAAAGGTACACTTATTTAGAAACAATACCTTAAGGATAGACACTCCTATAGTGAATTGTGATTCTCCATCCTCTTTGTTTACTCTTCGGTCAAATTGCTCCAAAGAAACCAACACTTCATCCTCTTCCTTTGTCACCTCGAACACAAACTGTGGAACAATGATATTATACACAGCTTAGCAAGGATCAAACCTCCTACTCAAACTTACTCAAGTCATACTCATTATCTACATGGTTCTAAGTCTTGCTCTGCGACAATTTATTGAATTAAATAAAAAAAATGTCTAATTACAAACATACTTTATTTATCCTGTAAAAAGTGTAGTTGACCTGCACATTACCCCATTAGGGATTGAAATTATAACATATTTTATACTAACTCATATTAACAGGCAACAGGGCAATGGCTCTAAACAGTCATCTGACAATCGACAAATGGATGGACAGATCACAGATCTGATGGTATGTGGTCTGTCAAATCTGATAAAGTAAAATTTTGGATTATTCCTTGAGAATATCAGAACCTCATTAACGGTAGGTTCTGTTCATGAAAAATGCTGTACAGTCATGTTACAGATGGCTACTCATACATGGTTACTGTTTAAGTTTTGATCAGGCTGAAAAATAACAATATATCATCTTTTCTTTTCCTTAAGTAATCAAACTCACAATATTTTTCTCACTGCTGTGAATGAAACTGGACAAGAAGTTCAGTCTATTTGTCTAGGAAGAGTTATGATATTTTTACAACTTAAGATTTCATCACAACAATCTCAGGATCACCTCATGCCACTCGGGTAAAATTTGGTTGAAATCTATCCAGGCAAGGAGTAGGGTTTTGAAGCAAAAGAATGTCTAACCTGCCCCCAGGTCCCTAGGGACTGAATCAACTTTCTGAAGATATTAAGTGATAACCTACCTCCAGTAATGATTCAGACCAAATTTGGATAAAATCCATTCATGCATGAATGAAGAGTAGCATTTTTGCGCAAGATATTGACTAGCTTTGCCTGTTGGGGTCCTGCCCTCAGCTCCCTAGGAGTCAAATCAACTTTCTGAATTTATGAAATGATAACAAACCAGCAATAATTTTTCAGACCAAATTTGGATAAAATTCAATTTAGTCTTTAATGATGAGTAGTGTCTTGAAGCAAAATATTGACTAATTTCCCCATTCGGAGCCCAATCCCTCAGTTTATTGCAAGTTTCAGAAAAACATTTGAATGAAATTTATACAAGCATTACAGAAAAGTGACAATTTGAAGTCCACTTCCCAGATCCCTAGGGATCAAATGAACTTTCTGAATTTACATATTGATTCACCCTACTCCATTTTAGGAACCAAACTCTATAGTCTAGGTTATAACTGTATTGTTACCATCATTGTACCATCCAACCACCCACTATACACTCTCACTCATCAGTACCTCTTGATTAACATCGTGATAGTCCATCAAACATTTTCACATTGGTTACTATAGGAATGCAGCAATCTTCAAATGTGATGTTTTTACAATAATATGTGTTGTTCATATATCTTTGTCAAAAGGGAGGAATTTTTCAGCTAGGAAATAACTTTGAGATGGAGTTGGGTGGGGGTCTATTTTCCCTAGCATAATTCTCTGGCTTAAATCATTTTATTGATTTTTTTTAAAAAGAACTTTTTAGGAAATTTCAAACATTTTAGAAAATTGATCCCTCAAATTACACTCCTTATTGAATCAAGCAGGTATTTTCAATTCTCACTGACAAACTAAACACATCAAGAAACTGCAACTGCAAGTTGTCACATAGGTTAGACAAGGACAGTGTACATAATGGACACAGCTACAAATGTACCTGCGGATTCTTCAGAAAAGATTTTTTATGATTACTACAGCCTCCACTCCGTGATGGTTTCCTCCACTCTCCAACCGTCTCGCCCTCTTTCCATGTCTTTTTCAGGGAAAAGAAGGATGTGTTGATAATGTGACACACTCCTATGTCGGTGTAGTAGTTACAGAAATCTTCAAATGACATCCTGTAATTGACAATCATAGTTTAAAGATCACTGGTCAAACCTAGAAAGTATATGAAAATACTTATATCCATATATGGAATTTGAGCAGTTAAGTACATGTATATGGTTGACATCAGAATTTGATTTTTTTTTTAAAAGAAAAAGACTTTTTTACCTTCAATGCTCAACCAAAGTTTCTTTATGTTATTCACAATATTCTGAGAAAGAAAACAACATGAGGGGCTCAAATAGATCACATAGGTCAAGGGTGACCTATGACCTTTACCTTGGTGATATGATATGAATATGAAACAGATCTGTTCAGGGTTCACGAGATATTATGTACACATGGTTATTGAGGATGTGTACTTGGAGCCATAGCCAAAAAAATGATGATAAAGGATTACCTTCCCCCTAACATAAAAACCTGGATGTCAAAGGGTGATATATGTAACTGCAGGCAGGACAATAAGATAAAATTAGTTAGTAATGCTACTTAACAGTAATAGTTGAGAGTGGGCTTATTACCAGACATGGGTTTATTGCCAAATATCAAATAACAAATCAATGATTTGATGGCTTTGATGAGATTTACTAGCTTCTAATACATCATTGCTCATTTATAACACACATCAAAAGAAAACATCTGTCAGTAATAGTCAATTAAGGTATTATTCCACCTTAATGTACTTGTGGCTCTCTAAGATAAAATCTCACCAGAATTCTCCATTGTCATCCACAGTGAGACCAATGTCCTTCTTCATTGAGTCACTGACCTGATCCCATTCAGCAGATCTATACAAAAATACAAAGCAAAAACAATCCTTTATACATCAATGTCTCCACTCCAATACAAACCAGAATCTGATCAGGTGTAGAACATGATGTTATGATACTATGGGGTAAGTGTGAACCAGAATCTGATCAGATGTGGAACATCATGTTATGATACTATGGGGTAAGTGTGAACCAGAATCTGATCAGGTGTGGAACATCATGTTATGATACTATAGGGTAAGTGTGAACCAGAATCTGATCAGGTGTAGAACATGATGTTATGATACTATAGGGTAAGTGTGAACCAGAATCTGATCAGGTGTAGAACATCATGTTATGATACTATAGGGTAAGTGTGAACCAGAATCTGATCAGGTGTGGAACATCATGTTATGATACTATAGGGTAAGTGTGAACCAGAATCTGATCAGGTGTAGAACATGATGTTATGATACTATAGGGTAAGTGTGAACCAGAATCTGATCAGGTGTAGAACATCATGTTATGATACTATAGGGTAAGTGTGAACCAGAATCTGATCAGGTGTGGAACATGATGTTATGATACTATAGGGTAAGTTTGAACCAGAATCTGATCAGGTGTAGAACATCATGTTATAATACTATAGGGTAAGTGTGAACCAGAATCTGATCAGGTGTAGAACATGATGTTATGATACTATAGGGTAAGTGTGAACCAGAATCTGATCAGGTGAAGAACATGATGTTATGATACCATAGGGTGTGAACCAGAATCTGATCAAGTGTAGAACATGATGTTATGATACTATAGGGTAAGTGTGAACCAGAATCTGATCAGGTGTAGAACATGATGTTATGATACTATAGGGTAAGTGTGAACCAGAATCTGATCAGGTGTAGAACATCATGTTATGATACTATAGGGTAAGTGTGAACCAGAATCTGATCAGGTGTGGAACATGATGTTATGATACTATAGGGTAAGTATGAACCAGAATCTGATCAGGTGTAGAACATCATGTTATGATACTATAGGGTAAGTGTGAACCAGAATCTGATCAGGTGTAGAACATCATGTTATTATACTATAGGGTAAGTGTGAACCAGAAACTGATCAGGTGTAGAACATCATGTTATGATACTATAGGGTAAGTGTGAACCAGAATCTGATCAGGTGTAGAACATGATGTTATAATACTATAGGGTAAGTATGAACCAGAATCTGATCAGGTGTAGAACATCATGTTATGATACTATAGGGTAAGTGTGAACCAGAATCTGATCAGGTGAAGAACATGATGTTATGATACTAAAGTGTAAGTGTGAACCAGAATCTTATCAGGTGTAGAACATGATGTTATAATACTATAGGGTAAGTTTGAACCAGAATCTGATCAGGTGCAGAACATGATGTTATGATACTATAGGGTAAGTGTGAACCAGAATCTGATCAGGTGCAGAACATGATGTTATGATACTATAGGGTAAGTGTGAACCAGAATCTGATCAGGTGTGGAACATGATGTTATGATACTATAGGGTAAGTGTGAACCAGAATCTGATCAGGTGTGGAACATGATGTTATGATACTATAGGGTAAGTTTGAACCAGAATCTGATCAGGTGTGGAACATGATGTTATGATACTATAGGGTAAGTGTGAACCAGAATCTGATCAGGTGTGGAACATGATGTTATGATACTATAGGGTAAGTGTGAACCAGAATCTGATCAGGTGTGGAACATGATGTTATGATACTATAGGGTAAGTTTGAACCAGAATCTGATCAGGTGTGGAACATGATGTTATGATACTATAGGGTAAGTGTGAACCAGAATCTGATCAGGTGTGGAACATGATGTTATGATACTATAGGGTAAGTGTGAACCAGAATCTGATCAGGTGTGGAACATGATATTAGGTCACTAGGGAGAGAATATGAACTGAACCTGTTGAGAGGTTTTTAAGGTATGGCATTGATTCAGAATGATACTGGAGCTGACAAGACAGAGCAGGACAGATGGGCGTATGTAACACTATTATATCAGGCTATTATATGTATAAAATGGTAAATTTATAATGATGATATATCATATGACTACCTTTTTATCAGGGTAATAACACCCATAACATGTGTTTATTATGACCACACAGTTAATAACAGGCTAGCAGAGGCGAGTCTGCCGAAGGATCCCATTCTTTCAATAGTGACATCATATTTCCTAGACATCTTGAAACTTGTCAAAATAAAATTGATTTCATTTTTTTATAAATCTCGCATGAAATGGAAGCTCACATAAGATCCTGGTTTATCACAGGTTATCAATAAGCTCACCCATCACTCCAGGCGCCCTTCCACTCTGTCCCGCCCCAGGGATTTCTACAACGAATCATGTGGATTTTTTCTCGTTTGAAGAAAGAAAAAAGCCCTGAAGAGGTACTAATGGGGATGTCCTTGACGGAGGTCACACTATAAGCATGACCTTTGATGAGGCCACAATCTAGCTCGTCCTCCATGTCGTCACCCGACTATAAAAATAAAATGTATGATATTGTGTTAGGTGTACAGCATCCATTATGAAATGCTGGGCATATCACAAGACAATTAAATAGTGTTTGTTTACAATTTGACCTAAAAGTAATAAATAGGGTGGGAACGGCCTTATTGTTATTTATTGTTTGTTTGGCCTTATTGTTGTATAAATACAGTAATTAACTAACAAAATTTAATTTTCTTGCAAATTCTGGTGACTTTGGCATATTGCCAGATACATTGTCAGAATATCAATATTTGAAGAAAGCAAGATTGAGGGAATCTGCAATTATTTACTGTGATAAATAGAATCTTACACTCTTGACATGTCAATGTAATGTGAAATATATCAAATTTCTAAAAAAAACTAGATGATTTTTCAAATATGAAAGTACATATACTTACTGCTGCTATGGAAGCACTCATTAGTGACTGATTTTTATAAGATTGTTTCAGAATTCTGAAGAGTTCCATTTTCTCTTCTTCAGTTTTATAATCAGTGATGTCGAGTTGCTCTCCAACACCACCTGACATATCCACTAGAGCATCTCGTGTAAGTCCAGCAACAAGGGACTGGTAATCTCCAAACAGTCTGTAACACAACATTATAGTTAGCGAGTTATCTCGCATCAATGGAAAACTCGTAATATCTGACAGGATTTATTGTTCATTATTTTCAAGGATGGAAATGAAATTGGAAAAAAGAAAGAACCAAAAGTTAATTATATCAATGGCAATAACTTGAGTTTGTTTTCATGACAACTGTGAAATATTATCTACTGAGCATCTGGCAACAAGAATATCATTATAATGTGTTCCTGTTACCAAGAGAAACAATTCATTGTATAGAAATGATACAAACATGAAATCACAATTTTGTGTGATTATGATATAGTCTACTTAGTTTCTATAAAAGTGTTTGAAAACTAAAGGAGAGATGTACAGACAAGGGCAATAACTCTAACAAAGAGCCGCATAGTGTGGCAGTATCCCCTGCACTACTCAGCTGTTGGTGTAAAACCCAAATATAATATACTGATATAACAATTTGTGACATCACTCCATTAGGTACTGCTACTATCACCTGAAGATCTAATACAGTGAAAGCGCTAGTGCATAATGTAAAGTCTTCTTTTGTCAATTATCAATTAAATTTTCTTGCATCTCCTCAACTTCATATCTTGATGTAAATACTGTGTGTTTGATTGTTGATATTTGAATAGAGCTTAGTATTGTCCATGAATATATTCATGCAACACTCTGTAAGCTCTGGAGTAATACAAGAAATCATAAAAAACAGAAATTTTATGGTAAAAGAAAAAGATAAATAATAAAATGTCCTCAGTGAGATACGTCACAACTAGGGCGAGACCTAATATATACAGAGAGTTTTGTGGAGTTGAGTGGAATCGTATCAAAGTTGTAGAAAGGAATGTTAACACTAATTTTGTGTTTTTTGACTATGCTTCCATGGTACTAAAAAAATAAGAAAAATGCAATGTCATCAATAGTAAAAGGCACTAACTTAATATATACAGAAAGTTTTGAAAAGTAGAGTTGAACGGTTTTGAAGCTATAGCCCGGAAAATCCAAAATATAATATAGTTTGTCCTCATAAAAATCATAAATCTGAACCAAAAATAAAAAAGTTATATTTTCTTAATTACAGGGTTAATGTAGTACAGTAAAGCATAATAAGAAAACTAGAATGCTGATACACTACACAAACCAAACACCAGACCATGGTTGTCCAAAGGCTGGTTATAGATAACCAGTGGTTAGTGAACATTTTCTAAAAAGAATTTAACAAATTTTGAAACATTCTTTATAATTTTACAGATGTAGGTCTATTGTGAGCGGTCAGATTGCTTTATATTTTAAGTGGTCATTGTGCATTTAACACCCTTGTTTGTTCAGTGGCAGCAAATTGAACTTTTCACAGATCAGTAGTCAGCTGTGACTAACATTTGAGCATCTGGAGCCAGAGTGGAACATATAGGCCAGTATCTAAAATTACCAACATATCATTTTATTACTTCAATATTGAAGGCTCAATAGTAGGATTCAAATGAAAAAGGAATATATTTTGTTAAGCTTTATACTTGAAATTGATCAAAATAGATTCAAATAATTCACAGGCTTTACAGAAATATATATCTTTTTCCACAAATTTACCTTAAAATGTAGCATCAAAAACTAAGTTAACAATTTATCTGAATTAAAATGTTTACTTGGCATATGCTTTCTCCAAAAGCGCTGGCCAGAACTCATTCTTCACTGGTGAATGACAATAGATAAGTTTTCCATTCCTTGTAGGCAGGTAGTCATCTATTACAACATCAATCCACTCCCCACAACGCCAGAAACGGAAATGGAAGATTCCCGCATACTGATTTTTTTCTGCAATCCATTCCTGACCTTCAAAGTCAGGTACTATCTGTGTACATAAATCAGACATTGTCAAAACAAAACAAACAACAAAAAACTTCAAAAATAAAGAAGAACTATTCTAGTATACATCAGTAACACAATTATAGGTACAATCAATATCAATGATATAATTTGCAAAAAAGAGGCACAGAGGGCCTGTAAAACTATGTAATACACTAGAAGTAGTATTCAATATAACAACAAACCATTCCCAATAACAGCGTACGCTAGTATGAACATCAGCATATTTTTTGCTGGTTTTCAATACCAAGGGAGATAACATCCTTTCTTGTGTAATAACAAATTTTGGTGTAAACGCAATTAACAGATAAAGAGGATAAGGCATTTATAGCCAGATAAGGCACCCAATAACATGGTTTCAATACAAAATTAATTTATATGATAACAAAAAAAAACAATGTTTAGATATACATGGTTCATGAAAAATAATATGAACCTTTGAATAAAATTCATAAGAAATTCAGACAAAATTCTTAATAACATCGAGTTGAATTGTAACCATTTTCATGTAATGACTAGCTAAAATAACACACCATGCCTGACAGACAGACAACAAGGCAAAAAGCATGAGCGTATTTGTCTATGTCCAGCAAATGGCTATACATAGAGAGGAAGCATGGTTATAAGGTTCTGAGCTGTTTGAGGACCAATTGCTCAATTGATAACAAACATAATAACAAACAGAGCAGTCACATCTTATCAATAAAGTAATTATTATTAATTAGAAAAGCCTTTTAGTCAATAGATGATAGCTGAAAGCAATCATTGACATATTTCATGAAAACACGAACATTAACCAGATCTAAATTTATAACTCAATATGCATCTACCCACCTTCTTCCATAGACTGGCATTTTCAGCGATACAGGCACAGGCAGCAACAAACCAGCAATTACCAATTTCCCCCTGAGCAAAGTCATTCGCACTGGCTCCATCCATAAAGAATTTGGGATCACTGCAAATTTCCTGGCATAGGAATGAACTTTTGATTTTAAAAAAATGTTTTGTTATTTGAAAATAATTTAGCTATGTTTTTCTTTCAAATTGAGGCACTCTAAACATATCTGCCCACATTAAAAAATGTCCATAAATGTAAGATACAGACGTCAATCATTAACACGTATTTACCATTATATGGCATTGATACCATGTGACCTTACCAATGTCAGTTGTGTATTATCAGCTCATAAATTTCCAACAGTGTTAAGAAATATAGCAAATAATGGTTGCCTTCCCTTATGATAAGATGAAAGCTGAAAATGGTAAATATAAACATTCAACTGCTTTCAGCTGGCATTCATGGGCATATGATTGCCAACTGGGTAAATGCAAATTTAACATGAAGCACTAACGCCCTTCTCTGAATTAGCCCTTATGTACTACATGTATATAGTTTTTATGTGTATTTGCCAATTTTTACTTTATTAATAACACTTCCAACAACAATTTTGTGAAACTATAGATTTAGACTTTGAGTTACTATGAGTAACTATAGATTTAGACTTTGAGTTACTATGAGTAACTATAGATTTAGACTTTGAGTTACTATGAGTAACTATAGATTTAGACTTTGAGTTACTATGAGTAACTATAGAAGAGCTACTAGAGTAGACTAGCTTACCACTCTCCCAATCCATCCTACTATAATGACCACCTCTATGTACGTCTATTTTTGGTGTTATACAACTTACAGTAATTGAACATCTATATAAAGGTCAACTGCCTATAAAGACCTCTTTTCTCTGACCCCTTGAGTGACTATCAGAAATTCATTAGGATTTTTGCCATCTATACCTGGATCTGAAATATATGAACAGTGACCAATTTTTCAAACATGATCTATTTTGATTTATACTAAGTATGAATTTATCTTACCCCTGGTCTTCTCCACTGTACATTGTGTGGTATTTTGTTAGAATCATACGACAGTGACGAGTCTTTGGGAGGAAACTCCTCATCTGTAAACAGAGTGCCAGTAGATACACAAGATTTCTTCAGATCCTTGTATTTCTGGCCTTTGTAAGGGATAGCGGAGTCAAAAAGTCCAAGGATCCCCATCCTGCAATTTTAACAACAAATAAAAAGTTGAGTGCATGTACATTATTCAGTAAATATTCCAGCTACAATATGCCCAGTCACCAATACGTCATCACCTTACTCAAAGTCAAGGGATTTTCGCTAGCATATTTACCAAAGGACTTCTATAGAATAGGAATAGGAATTAGGGAAGCGAATCAAAAATACCTTGCCCCCAGGGTTTGAACTATAGCCACCTTTCAGTCTCTAGTCAGACTCTCTAATGCTTGACTAAAGGAAAACTCACACAAGCCGAAGCTAGTTAAGATAACCAGTGTATTCTCATCTTTTACAATTAAGCGAAAATTAAGTTCTATTTTATATGGCTACAATAGTTTGATCAGGGCTAATGTAACCTCATAACGAGCATCGAGAACCTGCAAAAGGTATGAAGGTATACATACATATTCAACGAATCAGTGTAAGTGTGTGCATTGAAATCCAGTTCATGTTTGGTAACACAACTAATACTATCACGAGAACAAGGGCACGCCTGTAACAATCACTTTCAAAAGCAATATACCATATAGACCTAACACGCCCACAAGTGCTTACCACCGCTACATAGATGTTGGTTATAAAAGTTATTGTTATATGCCCCTGTGATCCAGGATGTCGCTCTTGACAGGCAAAACCATTTTTCCCGAAATCACATTTATATCGTGACAGTTGCTCGTGCATATCTTACGTAAATACCTGCTTGTCAGATAATACGAAAAACGTACCCAAACCAGATGGTATAATTTCTATATACGGCTATAAATACCTTGGATCTTCCCTTTTGAAAAATTGTGTACACTGTCGCTAAGCCAATCCAGGGGAGAATACTCTTATGATATATCCGGTTTGGTAACACACCAGTAAATTTACTATGTGCATCACATGATTAATTTGAAATCGATTTTCATGTATTAATTGTATCGCTAAAATCAATGGACTGAAAGCTATTCACATATTCAGTGTAAAGGCATGTGTTACAGTTTTCTCTTTATTCATATCAAGAAAGTTCTTAGGTTCACATGTACAAAATCGTGACAACATGCGAATGAAACGAATTTGACCATGTATGGATAATTTCTTACATCTATTTAAGCATTAAAGACATTACTGCTTTTGCAAAGAAAGTGACGGATATGGAAAATAGTCTTAATTTGATTACTGAAAATAAAAATCCTGATTCTGAACTACATGGGGTTGGGCTCGAGAGAGGGACTGTATTCCACCCATCTCTTAAACCTCCTGATGGGAGAAGGAACTGTGGAATCTTTTTGAAAGCTATGTTCATATTGATGGCTTCTTATGATCTCATTTATTAGTTATTATTCCATGTTGAATAAAATAGATCCAGTTTTACTGTAGAAATATCCAGTTATATCAGTGTTATCATTGAACTTATCAAATGTTGATACCTGTTTAATGTTCGTTTGAATTTTCAAGACAAGGATAATTTTTAATTTATTGTGTTTTCCCCCACAGAATTATTAAGTCAAAATATAAAATATAATTAAAAATTCTAAGCATTGGTATATATGGTGAATCAACCTTTCCACATTCTGCTACCTTGACGTATACCTTGTTATATCCGGGTCCTGCGGCAGCGCAATCCTCACACAACCCGTCATTAACTTTATAAAGTGTCTACATTCATACAATTTTTTCAACACGATTCAGAATTTAGCATACAGAGGATAAAAAGGAGTGTTCGATGGGGGTATATTATATTTACCTAGTCTTGTGTATTTATTTACGATAATTATTTGCAATTATTCTTTATTTTTGGTGGATAAAAATGGGGGAGGGGCTTATCTGTATATCATCTGTATTGCACATTGATTGACCTCACAACACACAGTTTTCATTTAATGTATTACAGTTCAAAACTGGTCCAGTAAGGCATTATGTTGATCTTTTACATTTAGGATGAAAAAAGAATATGATTTTGAGGACATGAACCATGATTTGAAGATGTGAACATTGACTTGGGGACATGAACCCTGATTTGAGGTCGTGAACCCGGAGTTGAGGTTGTGAACCCTGATTTAGGGTGAGATCGTGAACACCTGACATCAAAGCATCTATCCTATGTTGAAGCCACTTTACCTGAACACTAATAGCCATGACAATGATGTAGTCACTCTGTTTATATCACTCTGGTTAGTCACTCTGTTTATATCACTCTGGTAAGTCACTCTGTTTATATCACTCTGGTTAGTCACTATGTTTAAGTCACTCTGTTTATATCATTTTGGTTAGTCACTCTGTTTTGCCACTCTGTTTATATCACTCTGGTTAGTCACTATGTTTATATCACTCTGGTTAGTCACTCTGTTTTAAGTCACTCTGTTTATATCACTCTGGTCACTCTGTTTATATTACTCTGTTTATATCACTCTGTTTATATCACTCTGGTTAGTCACTCTGTTTATATCACTCTGGTTAGTCACTCTGTTTATATCACTCTGGTAAGTCACTCTGTTTATATCACTCTGGTTAGTCACTCTGTTTATATCACTCTGGTTAGTCACTCTGTTTATATCACTCTGGTTAGTCACTCTATTTAGTCACTCTGTTTATATCACTCTGTTTAGTCACTTTGTTTATATCACTCTGGTTAGTCACTATGTTTATATCACTCTGGTTAGTCACTCTATTTAGTCACTCTGGTTAGTCACTCTGTTTATATCACTCTGGTTAGTCACTCTCTGGTTAGTCACTCTGTTTATATCACTCTGGTTAGTCACTCTGTTTATATTACCCTGGTTCGTCACTCTGTTTATATCACTCTGGTTAGTCACTATGTTTAAGTCACTCTGTTTATATCATTTTGGTTAGTCACTCTGTTTTGCCACTCTGTTTATATCACTCTGGTTAGTCACTCTGTTTATATCACTCTTTATATTCACTCTGGTTTACTCTGTTTATATCACTCACTCTGTTTATATCACTCTGTTTATATCACTCTGGTTAGTAACTATGTTTATATCTTTCTGGTTAGTCACTCTGTTTATATTACTCTGGTTAGTCACTATGTTTATATCACTGTTTATATCACTTTGTTTATATCACTCTGGTTAGTCACTCTGTTTATATCACTCTGGTTAGTCACTCTGTTTATACCACTCTGGTTAGTCACTCTGTTTATATCACTCTGGTTAGTCACTCTGTTTATCACTCTGGTTATCACTCTGTTTATATCACTCTGTTTATATCACTCTGGTTAGTCACTCTGTTTATATCACTCTGTTTATATCACTCTGATTAGTCACTTTGTTTATATCACTCTGGTTAGTCACTCTGTTTATATCACTCTGGTTAGTCACTATGTTTATATCACTCTGGTTAGTCACTGTTTACATCACTCTGGTTAGTCACTCTGTTTACATCACTCTGGTTAGTCACTATGTTTATATCACTCTGGTTAGTCACTCTGTTTATATCACTCTGGTTAGTCACTCTGTTTATATCACTCTGGTTAGTCACTATGTTTATATCACTCTGGTTAGTCACTCTGTTTATATAACTTTGTTTATATCACTTTGTTTATATCACTCTGGTTAGTCACTCTGTTTATATCACTCTGGTTAGTCACCCTGTTTATATCACTCTGGTTAGTCACTCTGTTTATATCACTCTGTTTATATCACTCTGGTTAGTCACTATGTTTATATCACTCTGGTTAGTCATTCTATTTAGTCACTCTGGTTAGTCACTCTGTTTATATCACTCTGGTTAGTCACTCTGTTTATATCACTCTGTTTATATCACTCTGTTTAGTCACTCTGTTTATATCACTCTGGTTAGTCACTCTGTTTATATCACTCTGGTTAGTCACTCTGTTTATATCACTCTGGTTAGTCACTCTGTTTATATCACTCTGTTTATATCACTCTGGTTAGTCACTCTGTTTATATCACTCTGGTTAGTCACTCTGTTTATATCACTCTGGTTAGTCACTCTGTCACTCTGTTTATATCACTCTGGTTAGTCACTCTGTTTATATCACTCTGGTTAGTCACTATGTTTAAGTCACTCTGTTTATATCACTCTGGTTAGTCACTCTGTTTATATCACTCTGGTTAGTCACTCTGTTTATATCACTCTGGTTAGTCACTCTGTTTATATCACTCTGGTTAGTCACTCTGTTTATATCACTCTGGTCACTCTGTTTATATCACTCTGTTTTATCACTCTGGTTAGTCACTCTGTTTATATCACTCTGTTTATATCACTCTGTTAGTCACTCTGTTTATATCACTCTGGTTAGTCACTCTGGTTTTTATATCACTCTGGTTAGTCACTCTGTTTATATCACTCTGGTTAGTCACTCTGTTTATATCACTCTGGTTAGTCACTCTGTTTATATCACTCTGGTTAGTCACTCTGTTTATATCACTCTGGTTAGTCACTCTGTTTATATTACCCTGGTTCGTCACTCTGTTTATATCACTCTGGTTAGTCACTCTGTTTAAGTCACTCTGTTTATATCACTCTGGTTAGTCACTCTGTTTATATCACTCTGGTTAGTCACTCTGTTTATATCACTCTGGTTAGTCACTCTGTTTAGTACCTCTGTTTATATCACTTTGTTTATATCACTCTGGTTAGTCACTCTGGTTAGTCACTCTGTTTAGTCACCCTGTTTATATCTTTCTGGTTAGTTACTCTGTTTATACCACTCTGGTTAGTCACTCTGTTTATATCTTTCTGGTTAGTCACTCTGTTTATATCACTCTGGTTAGTCACTCTGTTTATATCACTCTGGTTAGTCACTCTGTTTATATCACTCTGGTTAGTCACTCTGTTTATATCACTCTGGTTAGTCACTCTGTTTATATCACTCTGTTTATATCACTCTGTTTATATCACTCTGGTTAGTCACTCTGTTTATATCACTCTGGTTAGTCACTCTGTTTATATCACTCTGGTTAGTCACTCTGTTTATATCACTCTGGTTAGTCACTCTGTTTATATCACTCTGGTTAGTCACTCTGTTTATATCACTCTGGTTAGTCACTATGTTTATATCACTCTGGTTAGTCACTCTGTTTAGTCACTCTGTTTATATCACTCTGGTTAGTCACTCTGTTTGTATCATTCTGGTTAGTCACTCTGTTTATATCACTCTGGTTAGTCACTCTGTTTATATCACTCTGTTTATATCACTCACTCACTCTGTTTATATATCACTCTGGTTTATATCGGTTAGTCACTCTGTTTATATCACTCTGGTTAGTCACTCTGTTTATATCACTCTGGTTAGTCACTCTGTTTATATCACTCTGGTTAGTCACTCTGTTTATATCACTCTGGTTAGTCACTATGTTTATATCACTCTGGTTAGTCACTCTATTTAGTCACTCTGGTTAGTCACTCTGTTTATATCACTCTGGTTAGTCACTCTGGTTAGTACCTCTGTTTATATCACTTTGTTTATATCACTCTGGTTAGTCACTCTGGTTAGTCACTCTGTTTATATTACTCTGGTTAGTCACTATGTTTATATCACTCTGGTTAGTCACTCTGTTTAGTCACTCTGTTTATATCACTCTGGTTAGTCACTCTGTTTATATCACTCTGGTTAGTCACTCTGTTTATATCACTCTGGTTAGTCACTCTGTTTATATCACTCTGGTTAGTCACTCTGTTTATATCACTCTGGTTAGTCACTCTGTTTATATCACTCTGGTTAGTCACTCTGTTTATATCACTCTGGTTAGTCACTCTGTTTATATCACTCTGGTTAGTCACTCTGTTTATATCACTCTGTTTAGTCACTCTGTTTATATCACTCTGGTTAGTCACTCTGTTGATATCACTCTGGTTAGTCACTCTGTTGATATCACTCTGGTTAGTCACTCTGTTTACATCACTCTGTTTAGTCACTCTGTTTATATCACTCTGGTTAGTCACTATGTTTATATCACTCTGGTTAGTCACTCTGTTTAGTCACTCTGGTTATATCACTCTGTTTAGTCACTTCTGTTTATATCACTCTGGTTAGTCACTCTGTTTATATCACTCTGTTTATATCACTCTGTTTATATCACTGTTTTAATCACTCTGTTTATATCACTGAGTCACTTCTACACCTGTATTTTGATAGTTTTTCTGAATTCACTCTGTTTATATCACGAGTTATACGGTTAGTCACTCTGTTTATATCACTCTGGTTAGTCACTCTGTTTATATCACTCTGTATGATACAGAATTATACGTCCCTGATAACACACACAAGGGCATAACACCAGGGACGTATAATACAGAATAATACAGAATTATACGTCCCTGATAACACACACAAGTGCATAACACCAGGGACGTATGATACAGAATTATACGTCCCTGATAACACACACAAGGGCATAACACCAGGGACGTATATTACAGAATTATACGTCCCTGATAACACACACAAGGGCATAACACCAGGGACGTATAATACAGAATTATACGTCCCTGATAACACACACAAGTGCATAACACCAGGGACGTATAATACATAATTATACGTCCCTGATAACACACACAAGGGCATAACACCAGGGACGTATAATACAGAATTATACGTCCCTGATAACACACACAAGGGCATAACACCAGGGACGTATGATACAGAATTATACGTCCCTGATAACACACACAAGGGCATAACACCAGGGACGTATGATACATAATTATACGTCCCTGATAACACACACAAGGGCATAACACCAGGGACGTATGATACATAATTATACGTCCCTGATAACACACACATGGGCATAACACCAGGGACGTATGATACATAATTATACGTCCCTGATAACACACACAAGGGCATAACACCAGGGACGTATGATACATAATTATACGTCCCTGATAACACACACAAGGGCATAACACCAGGGACGTATGATACATAATTATACGTCCCTGATAACACACACAAGGGCATAACACCAGGGACGTATGATACATAATTATACGTCCCTGATAACACACACAAGGGCATAACACCAGGGACGTATGATACATAATTATACGTCCCTGATAACACACACAAGTGCATAACACCAGGGACGTATATTACAGAATTATACGTCCCTGATAACACACACAAGTGGGTAACACCAGGGACGTATATTACAGAATTATACGTCCCTTATAACACACACAAGTGCATAACACCAGGGACGTATAATACAGAATAAAACGTTTCCGATAACACACACAAGTGCATAACATCAGGGACGTATAATACAGAATAATACGTTTCCGATAACACACACAAGTGCATAACATCAGGGACGTATAATACAGAATAATTACAGAATTATACGTCCCTGATAACAACTTTTCAAGCTTATTTATAACTAGATTGGGGTCCGCTTGTTCCATATTACAATACATTTCGTAATTTTCATATATTTATCAATAATTTCGGAAGAACATCTAGTACTGTCAAATTCTGAGACGTTGCATTCGAATGAATTAAAATGTGGCTCGCAGTTTACTGGAAAACTGGTGGATCGAACGACCAGCATCAGTGTCTATAACCAGCTGTAAGATTGAACAAAACACACACAAATCAATAGCTCCTTTGAATTCAAATTTATCCTTTGATGTACATTAATTGCAAGGTACAAATACCGTTGCTAATCGCATTGAGCTGACAGCGGAGGTTTTAATACAAGTTCTGTCGTCAGAATAAAATCGGGATCTGTACAATTTTACAGTAGACGCACATAAGTCCTACACATGATTTGTGAAAATATCACTCCGGTCTACCCACCAATCAAATTCAACGTAACAAAAGCCGACGCCATTTTTTTTTTTTTTTTTTTTGTGTTATTGGACGATACTGTAGTAAAATACTTTCAAACCAATGCAAATGTTTGTTGCAAGTAAGGTAAAACCATTTCTTTTAATAGCTTTGTCAACTATTTCATTCAAGATATGTGACATCAAACGTCATATATAAGATATTCTGTCTTTATTTCATATAGTATAATTAGCTTACAATATTACACACAAAAATCATTATTTTGAAGAAAAAAACAAAAACATTTCTTCATTTTGAAAATATCTTTACGTAGTCTATGAAAAAATGAGAGCATGAAATAAAATCAATGGAGAAATTATCATTAAGTATCTTACAGCAAAATTAGATAAGCTACTACCTATGTAGGAATTGTATGCTTGGCGTGAAATATGTAGGTATATTTAAGTATTTGTGACGGTGATAGAATACGACCCACAATTGTCAAAAAACTTGTAATAATGTTTCTACGTGAATAAACATGATTGTACCGTAAAAGCATGTTTGTTCGTAGTGAGTTTTTAGATTGGTTGAATTCTATGACTTTTCAGTACTGTAATTTCTAATTTGTAATTTTTTCAAACAAAAATGTGAACCCCCTGAAAAAATATAATTTTACAGAATCCATCTGGAACGATATGGCAATTCCGCATTTATCAATAACATTTTTTTAATAGAAAGGGAAGTAAGTGGTAGGGTCATTCATGATAGAAAATTCCTCCGCAGGGAAATATGTAGCGTTGATAGCACAGCCTCCGTCATGAAAAACGGGTCGCAAGGATTCGGGTGGCACACAAACTTCAGTACTTGCGGCTTCAACCTGTGCCAGTTCTGCGGCAGTGTGGCCTTCCATAACTCGGTTCAGAGAGATGACGTAAGAACTGCCCGGACTACATTCGCCGTTAGCGTTGGTATTCCAACAAGAGTAGATCAGAGCGTAACCTTCGTAGTCGGTCTTGATAATCCATATGGGAAATTTACTTCCTTGGAAAATGTAGTCGGTTTTGGCTACGTTTGATTCGTTTCTTGGAATATTTAATCCTTGAGCGTAATAACAACGATCCGCCATTACTGCTCCAGCTGAAAATGAGAGAAATAATAGTCATTGACAAAGAATTACGTTTTAAAGTATGAAGAGATTTCAGTATCAATCAATTCATCAGTTTAGAAACAACGAATTTGACCATCAAAATTAAAAAAAAAAACTTTCAAAAGATAATGATACCAATAAGTGCTGCAAATTTGGATGGAATGTGATGGAAATTGATGTTGAATCGAATGACGGCAAACTAAACATCATTTCATGTTTGTATGTTGAGGATATACAGTGAAAATGGACAGGTAGAACATCAATGATTATAATGCCTAGAACATCGTAAAATGGTTGTTACCCTGCAAACACTCGGTTTCGTTGGAATCTCGTGAGAGTACGAAGTTAGCTTCAGAATATTACTTGCGTTATACTGACAATTAATGTATTTCCGCGGAGCTCAATTTTCGTGGTATTTTTTTTTTACAAAATTGTTATTTCGTGGATAACTACAAATAATTTTACTTGAAACTTTGAACAGTTTGTTGACATATGAATTCGTGGATAAGAGTATCACAGAAGTCAGCGAAAACAAATTTTCCACGAAAATAAATGATTTTTACAGTATCGTTTTTAAAACTCTACACCTTACCTCTCTCCCCGTAGTAAATGCCATGGACAGGTTATTATACATGAAAGACAATGTTTAAGGCATACATACACAGTACAACCATCAGAAACCGAGGATTTGTCGTGTTATTACAAATCTAGTTCTGTTTTCTCTTCTGTTTCAGTTTTTTAAAAATAAAAATATGACTTACACTTGGTGCTTTTAGCTGTAAACATTTTCTTTATTATTCCATCACTTGTTATTTATTCATGAGCTTAGAAAAACAGTGTTGTTTGAAAAAAAGAGAATATTTTGCTGTTGTCAGATTAAAAGGATATCAGCTGATGTGTGTCATGAACACACGCACCAGAAAAAAGTACAACTGGTATACAACAGATATAACAGCACAAGGCTGAAACAGAAAGACATTGGCAGTTCATGGCGGTGGGCAAGTTCTGTTGTAGTCAGTATTCAGGTATCATCATATTTTTCATGTTTGCATCACTGCTGTCGCTTTTATCATAACATATAGTCTATTGATATATTTAGGATATATTCTAGGGGTTGATAGTCGCCAGGACTGGTCCTAAAAAGTAGATTGTCTCTCCAAGTTTGATAATAGCCTCTGAGCATAACACTTTAACAGATCACCACTGTGGAGGACAACACTATAACAGATTACCACTGTGGAGGACAACACTATAACAGATTACCACTGTGGAGGACAACACTATAACAGATTACCACTGTGGGGGACAACACTATAACAGATCACCACTGTGGGGGACAACACTATAACAGATCACCACTGTGGAGGACAACACTATAACAGATTACCACTGTGGGGGACAACACTATAACAGATTACCACTGTGGGGGACAACACTATAACAGATCACCACTGTGGAGGACAACACTATAACAGATCACCACTGTGGAGGACAACACTATAACAGATTACCACTGTGGGGGACAACACTATAACAGATCACCACTGTGGAGGACAACACTATAACAGATCACCACTGTGGAGGACAACACTATAACAGATTACCACTGTGGGGGACAACACTATAACAGATTACCACTGTGGGGGACAACACTATAACAGATTACCACTGTGGGGGACAACACCCTAACAGACTACCACTGTGGAGGACAACACTATAACAGACTACCACTGTGGAGGACAACACTATAACAGATCACCACTGTGGAGGACAACACTATAACAGATTACCACTGTGGAGGACAACACTATAACAGATTACCACTGTGGAGGACAACACTATAACAGATTACCACTGTGGAGGACAACACTATAACAGAACACTGTACTATAACAGATCACCACTGTGGAGGACAACACTATAACAGATCACCACTGTGGAGGACAACACTATAACAGATCACCACTGTGGGGGACAACACCCTAACAGATCACCACTGTGGGGGACAACACCCTAACAGACTACCACTGTGGAGGACAACACTATAACAGATCACCACTGTGGAGGACAACACTATAACAGATCACCACTGTGGGGGACAACACTATTACACACTACCACTGTGGAGGACAACACTATAACAGACCACCACTGTATAACAGACTGTGGGGGACCACTGTGTGGAGGACAACACTATAACAGATTACCACTGTGGGGGACAACACTCTAACAGACTACCACTGTGGGGGACAACACTCTAATAGACCACCACTGTGGAGGACAACACTATAACAGATTACCACTGTGGAGGACAACACTCTAACAGACCACCACTGTGGAGGACAACACTATAACAGATCACCACTGTGGAGGACAACACTATAACAGATCACCACTGTGGGGGACAACACCCTAACAGACTACCACTGTGGAGGACAACACTATAACAGATTACCACTGTGGGGGACAACACTCTAACAGACTACCACTGTGGAGGACAACACTGGAGGACAACACTATAACAGATTACCACTGTGGAGGACAACACTCTAACAGACCACCACTGTGGGGGACAACACTCTAACAGACCACCACTGTGGAGGACAACACTCTAACAGACTACCACTGTGGAGGACAACACTATAACAGATTACCACTGTGGGGGACAACACCCTAACAGACTACCACTGTGGAGGACAACACCCTAACAGACTACCACTGTGGGGGACAACACTCTAACAGATTACCACTGTGGGAGACAACACTCTAACAAACTACCACTGTGGAGGACAACACTCTAACAGACCACCACTGTGGGGGACAACACTCTAACAGACTACCACTGTGGGACAACACACTAACAGACAACCACTGTGGGGGACAACACTCTAACAGACTACCACTGGAGGGACAACACTCTAACAGACTACCACTGTGAGGGGACAACCACTGTAACAGACTACCACTGTGGGGACAAACAGACTACCACTGTGGGGGACAACACTCTAACAGATTACCAATGTGGGGGACAACACTCTAACAAACTACCACTGTGGAGGACAACACTCTAACAGACCACCACTGTGGAGGACAACACCCTAACAGACTACCACTGTGGAGGACAACATTCTAACAGACTACCACTGTGGAGGACAACACCCTAACAGACTATACCACTGTGGGGGACAACACTCTAACAGACTACCACTGTGAGGGACAACACTCTAACAGACTACCACTGTGAGGGACAACACTCTAACAGATTACCACTGTGGGGGACAACACCCTAACAGACTACCACTGTGGGGGACAACACTCTAACGGACCACCACTGTGGAGGACAACACCATAAGAGACTACCACTGTGGGGGACAACACTCTAACAGACCACCACTGTGGAGGACAACACTCTAACAGATTACCACTGTGGGGGACAACACCCTAACAGACTACCATTGTGGGGGACAACACTCTAACAGACTACCACTGTGGAGGACAACACTCTAACAGACCACCACTGTGGAGGACAACACTCTAACAGACTACCACTGTGGGACAACACTCTAACAGACTACCACTGTGGAGGACAACACTCTAACAGACTACCACTGTGAGGGACAACACTCTAACAGACTACCACTGTGGGGGACAACACTCTAACAGACTACCACTATGAGAGACAACAATCTAACAGACTACCACTGTGAGGGACAACACTCTAACAGACTACCACTGTGAGGGACAACACTCTAACAGACTACCACTGTGAGGGACAACACTCTAACAGACTACCACTGTGAGGGACAACACTCTAACAGACTACCACTGTGAGGGACAACACTTTAACAGACCACCACTGTGGAGGACAACACTCTAACAGATTACCACTGTGGGGGACAATACCCTAACAGACTACCACTGTGGGGGACAACACTCTAACAGATTACCAATGTGGGGGACAACACTCTAACAAACTACCACTGTGGAGGACAACACTCTAACAGACTACCACTGTGGAGGACAACACTATAACAGATTACCACTGTGGGGGACAACACCCTAACAGACTACCACTGTGGGGGACAACACTCTAACAGACTACCACTGTGGAGGACAACATCTTAACAGACTACCACTGTGAGGGACAACACTCTAACAGACTACCACTGTGGGGGACAACACTCTAACAGACTACCACTGTGAGGGACAACACTCTAACAGACTACCACTGTGGAGGACAACACTCTAACAGATTACCACTGTGAGGGACAACACTCTAACAGACTACCACTGTGGGACAACACTTTAACAGACTACCACTGTGGAGGACAACACTCTAACAGACTACCACTGTGGAGGACAACACTCTAACAGACTACCACTGTGGATTGACAACATTATAACAGATTACCACTGTGGAGGACAACACCCTAACAGACTACCACTGTGGGGGACAACACTCTAACAGACTACCACTGTGGAGGACAACACTCTAACAGACCACCACTGTGGAGGACAACACTCTAACAGATTACCACTGTGAGGGACAACACTCTAACAGACTACCACTGTGGGAGAACACTCTAACAGACTACCACTGTGGAGGACAACACTCTAACAGACTACCACTGTGAGGGACAACACTCTAACAGACTACCACTGTGGGGGACAACACTCTAACAGACTACCACTATGAGGGACAACACTCTAACAGACCACCACTGTGAGGGACAACACTCTAACAGACCACCACTGTGAGGGACAACACTCTAACAGACTACCTCTGTATGGGGGACAACAATCTAATAGATTACCACTGTGGGGGACAACACTCTAACAGACTACCACTGTGGGGGACAACACTCTAACAGACTACCACTGTGGAGGACAACATCTTAACAGACTACCACTGTGAGGGACAACACTCTAACAGACTACCACTGTGGGGGACAACACTCTAACAGACTACCACTGTGGAGGACAACATTCTAACAGATTACCACTGTGGAGGACAACACTCTAACAGACTACCACTGTATGGGGGACAACAATCTAACAGACTACCACTGTGGAGGACAACAATAACAGATTACCACTGTGGGGGACAACACCCTAACAGACTACCATTGTGGGGGACAACACTTTAACAGATCACCACTGTGGAGGACAACACTATAACAGATTACCACTGTGGAGGACAACACTATAACAGATTACCACTGTGGGGGACAACACCCTAACAGACTACCACTGTGGGGGACAACACTCTAATAGACCACCACTGTGGAAGACAACACTATAACAGATTACCACTGTGGGGGACAACACCCTAACAGACTACCACTGTGGAGGACAACACTCTAACAGACTACCACTGTGGAGGACAACATTCTAACAGATTACCACTGTGGAGGACAACACTCTAACAGACTACCTCTGTATGGGGGACAACAATCTAACAGACTACCACTGTGGAGGACAACACTATAACAGATTACCACTGTGGGGGACAACACTCTAACAGACTACCACTGTGGGGGACAACACTCTAACAGACTACCACTGTGGAGGACAACATCTTAACAGACTACCACTGTGAGGGACAACACTCTAACAGACTACCACTGTGGGGGACAACACTCTAACAGACTACCACTATGAGGGACAACACTCTAACAGACTACCACTGTGGAGGACAACACTCTAACAGATTACCACTGTGGGGGACAACACTCTAACAGACTACCACTGTGGGACAACACTTTAACAGACTACCACTGTGGAGGACAACACTCTAACAGACTACCACTGTGGAGGACAACACTCTAACAGACTACCACTGTGGATGACAACATTCTAACAGATTACCACTGTGGAGGACAACACTCTAACAGACTACCACTGTATGGGGGACAACAATCTAACAGACTACCACTGTGGAGGACAACACTCTAACAGACCACCACTGTGGAGGACAACACTCTAACAGATTACCACTGTGAGGGACAACACTCTAACAGACTATACCACTGTGGAGGACAACACTCTAACTGACTACCACTGTGAGGGACAACACTCTAACAGACTACCACTGTGGGACAACACTCTAACAGACTACCACTGTGGAGGACAACACTCTAACAGACTACCACTGTGAGGGACAACACTCTAACAGACTACCACTGTGGGGGACAACACTCTAACAGACTACCACTATGAGGGACAACAATCTAACAGACTACCACTTTGGGGACAACACTCTAACAGACTACCACTGTGAGGGACAACACTCTAACAGACCACCACTGTGAGGGACAACACTCTAACAGACCACCACTGTCTTCCTAATTATCACTAGACATCATTAATTACATATAGATAGTTTAATAACATTTGATATAGAAAGCATTTAGGACTATTGAAACGTGAATTACACAATAATTATGTACCTATAAGTTATACAGAAAATGTTTCCTCATCGAAATCAGTTATCATCGCTATCCTGTAGTTATGTCCTTCTCCATTAGCGGCCTAATGTAAATATTGAAATACAGATTTTAATTAGAATCCAGCGTTTAATCTGTTTTACCGAACACATACATCATAATTAATACAACTCACTTGTCAATGTACGCATAGTTCCATTTTCTGTCGTCATTTCGAAGTAGTACTGTAGGTTTCGGATCTGTCTCATTTCCGCAGCTGCCCATGGCGTCTGTCTTGGCATACCAACGTTGAAACCAGAAAACAAACCCATACCACCGGTATATTCCATCCCCCCAACGTCCGTCGGGGCAGTGGACATTGCTACCCTGAAAGGGTTGAACTCTCTGTTAGCTGAAATGGCGTACCAGTAACCCTCAAATCTTGACACATTTAAGTCATTTTGAACCTGAAATTTATCGATATCGCAATCCGGATAGCCATGTCCGTAACACCAGAAAATAGTTGGTGAAAGGCACAGGCATATCAGTATTAGTGATTCCAAACGCATGCTGATGACTAGATGTCCGTTCCGTTTCTTTACTTGGGATTACAAAATACCATTTACTAACATTAACGCTATCAAAGAACAATTGGCACGCGCTAGCATTAAATATGTAATGTCGCTGGTGGCAAGGACACCCGAATATCCGAGAGAGAATCGTTCTGACACAAGGTCCTTGTTTACTCTCCAATATATACGTCACACACAATTGTTCTGACACAAGGTCCTTCTTTACTCTCCAATGTATACGTCACACACAATTGTTCTGACACAAGGTCCTTCTTTACTCTTCGATATAACGTCACACACAATAATGTCCGCTGCCAGACGTATGTTGTTTCCTATGCATATTTGACAGATTTATATCAACAACAAAGTACAAGTGACATAAAAAGTGGCCACAGGGCAAGTACTGACGGTCAGTTTGATCAAACGTACATGAAGAATTGTCAAACGATGTCATCGCGACTATTACCAGACTACAAAATGTCACTTGGTTTTTTTTGTTCTCTTTTCGATGGTACATTCTTTATAAAAAAATATTCGATAGTACTAATTTTCATGGTTATGTAAAACCCCCTGAAGTCTATTGTACATAAAATTAATGTAACGTATATTTTTTGCTTTGTCCTTTTGCTATGTTTTGTTTTTGTTTACTTATTTATTTATTCTCGGAGAATTATTACACCTGTAAAACTTCAGTGATTTCATTTTATGCGCGAAAATGGGAGCCCTCGAAAATACAATCCTTTAGATTACCCATGATAGACGAACGCATTAACAGTTTAAGCAATGATGGCCGTGATACTATTATAAACATTCCGAAGGTTTGCGCACTCCCTCCCGAGTACCGAATACATTTTGTAATACATCCGTTATGTTGTCGTCTGTCATCCCCATGAATCACATGGGTGTACCTGCCTCAGGCAATCTGAGTGACAGTAGCCCCTAGTACTTCGGCCTTCAGGAGACAATCCTCTTATTTATTGTATTATAGTCTGGTGATCTGTTCAAATAACATTATCTAAACCGTGGTGACTCTTCCAACATCCAGTTGAAAACGCAGATTTAAAAAAAAATTGTGCAATTGAAAGACACTACCATTTTCCATAATCCATAAAAAACAATTAGAAAATCCCATAATCCAAACTCAATGTCTATAAAACTAGGGCAAAATTTGGACAATATATTCACATGTGACGATCCTGAAAGCAAGTGATGCTTTGTTGCTTCAGTGTTAAAAAGATACATAAATGAAAAGATAAATAAATAAAACAAAAGTTTAATTTATATCTTACATTTTGAACGTTAAAATTGGTAAATACATGGACTCAATACAATACGGCTGTAATTCCTCTTTTCAGTTTTAAATCTAAAGAGCAGCGCGCGCGTATCGTCGAATATGCACGTAATTCCTTTTGCGTGAAGTTCATACATCTTAAGGTTAACATCTTTTCAATAAACATACTCATAAAAAGTCAGTACTCATGGTTTCCCCGTAAAGGAAATAAACAAAGTTTATTTACAATCCTGATATGCAATGATGTGTGATTAATTCTTATATTTTTTTACGAACGTGAACGTTTGACATCTAAACAACAGAGATAAAAGGCAGGAATTTATAGAAAACAAATTCTGAGAATAATAGAACTGAACTTAGAGATATATGTAAATGCCATAAAAATCTTCATTTTAATTCTAAATTAAAAAATTGACAAGCAGTCATCATGTTTAACATTTTACTATTTCCTCGTGCACCGAATAATGATTGATTGTCTTAGGTCGATTCGCTTATAAATACATACACATGAAGCCTTGGCTATTTTGTCGGTGTTATCTACTAAGAAGATACAAATCACTGAAGATGAATAGCAAACTGGTAGTGGTGACTCTGTTACTGGTGGTAGGTCTTATGTGCCTCGGTGTCAGCAACGTAGACGGTAAGTAGATCAATATTATTGTACCATTATAGTAACTTGGATAAGTACATAATACAAATGATATAAGATATTAATTTAATTAGAATCACATAACAATTCGACGAATGAAGAATAACGATATTTACTGATTACAAATACAGAGTGAATTAAGTTATGTTTCGTGCTCGTATGCCTGGTGATTCCGTAGTAGTTTACCATAAACCTGTCACTACTTGCTTGGTAGATTGATCAAAATGTACATGGTGGGTGAAGCAAAAGACGCTTACCCTTCTTCAACTTCTGGTCTTGTTCTACTTGTAGTTTGTCAGTTGTATCAATGTAAATATCTTTTATTAATACTTTTGACTTAGATTCACCGAATTTGAGTGATAGTTTTAATGGGTTTGTCGTCCTGAGTGAAACTTTCAATCGGTTTATCGTCCTGAATAAAACTTTTAATGTGTTTTGTCGTCCTGAGTGAGACTTTTAATGGATTCACCGAATTTGATTGATACTTTTAATGGGTCTGTCGTCCTAAGTGATACTTTAATAGGTTTGTCGTCCTGAGTAAAACTTGTAATGGGTTTGTCGTCCTGAGTGAAACTTGTAATAGGTTTGTCGTCCTGAGTGAGACTTTTAATGGATTCACCGAATTTGATTGATACTTTTAATGGGTCTGTCGTCCTAAGTGATACTTTAATAGGTTTGTCGTCCTGAGTGAAACTTGTAATGGGTTTGTCGTCCTGAGAGAAACTTTCAATGGGTTTCGTCGTCTTAAGTATGACTTATAATGGCTTTTGTCGTCTTGAGTGAAACTTTAATATGTTCCGTCGTCCTGAGTGAGACTTTTAATGGGTTTGTCGTCCTGAGTGAAACTTTTAATGGTTTTGTTGTCCTGAGTGAGAGTTTTAATGGGTTTCGTCGTCCTAGGTGAAACTTTTAATGGGTTTATTGTCCCGAGTAAAACTTTCAATGGGTTTTGTTTTCCTGAGTAAGACATTTAATGGGTTTTGTTGTCCCAAGTGAAATTTTTAATGGGTTTTGTTGTCCTGAGTGAATTTTTCAATGGGTTTTGTCGTCCTAAGTGCAGAAGTCTTTATTTCTGGTTTCTTTGCTGAACATCAATAGGTAAGCCCGTCGCATGCTATCCTGAGTAGTTTGGGTAAATTGGTTTACCTAATGATGTAAGGCAGTCTGTGATCTCAGCTTCGCGAGAAACACGAACAGAAAGCTCCGAGGGTGCGCTGACATGTTGTCCTAAGACAATACTGATTTACTTGGATATAAATGTTGGTTCTTATAGGGCAGTCGGGAGGAGGATGTGTCTGCCGTCTGTATGGGTGTTCAGCCTGGGAGATAACCGGAAGGGCGTGCCGCGTAGGTGGATCCTACCGCTGGGGTGTAATGTGCTGCCGATGGGGTTACGGCCGTTAGGATGATATTGTAACCTGAATCGTGGTATTGGTATTAATTATCTTAGTTCATTTTTCATGCTTCTTAATGAAAACGAATCAATCATGTCTTGATTAGAAGCTGCTCCACTGGGTACTGCTTTTGTGAGCTATTTGTTTCGTTCTTTTCAGGATTAGAATAACTTTGTAAAAATATAACAATTACAAAGATAAACCTAGAAGTAACCAGTTGTAGAACTCTCGGTCACCAGCGAGGGAGTCGTTATACAAATATATTAATGTCATTCCGCCAAACTCGAATTTCTGGTTTTTACAAAGACGATGTTTCGCGGACACTTTCCATTTCTTCAAGTAGCAATAATTGGAAGTAGAATCATTTGTCTTTATCATATTTACATATAGAAATGGCACGTTACAATGTTTGTATAGTCAGTTTGGTATAATTGAAGTTCTAGATTAAAAAATGCGGTAAGTTCATATCAGGTATCAGTTAAGATGGTGGAATGTGAAGTATTACGGTATCAACAGAAAGAAAGAAAGAGAAAATTTCGAACATATATACAGTACATAGAGTACAAATAAATCTGTAAATGCTAGCAGTAATTATATTCGTGGATATATGAATTAGTGAACAAAGAATGCCCACGGAATCAACGCAATATAAGCCAGATGAAAATGTAAGTTGAACATTTTTGGGAAATATTCTATTATGCGTTATGAAGTTGCATGCGTTATGAAGATGCTCGTTATCAAGTCAGGTGGTTCGATTTATGTTTACTTTGTTCTCATTTGGGAACGTGACATTACTTACTTGAATTGACCAACCAAAATGTATATGACGGATGTCGTCGATGATGCAGAGGACTCTTCCCCTTACGGAAAACCTGGTCTTTTTCTTCTTTATTCCCAAGTCTTCATATAAATCTTCCTTCTCTTCATATTTTGTACAGTTTCATTGAATTAAGAGCCTGGTGAATTCCGAATTTTTTGTCTTTTACATAATGTGTTGCGAAAATAGACTTCCATCAGAATAAACCTCATTAATTCTATATTGGTACAAAAAGGGGACTGAACAGACATGAAGTATTATCATTGTAGCTGTATTGTAATTCCTATTTAAAAATATTGAATTTTTCTTTAAAACACGTCCACAATGTGTGATATTAGTAAGATATGTATTGTTTCTTGTTTTTACAGGGAAATGTTGGACAAAAGTCGACATAAAGATCAAAATATCTGCTTTTTGTTGTTATGTTCTTCGTCGTCATTAAATGCTTTCTAAGTCAACTGCTTTGTTCTGTTTTTAAAATACGACATTATATATTTTAAAGGAAACACACGAGTATACGTACTGTTTGGTCGTAACCATGGCGCACCTGACCGGCTCCAAGTTTAAAACTTAAAGCTGTCTCATAAAGCAAATTGTTGAGATGTGTAAATCCTCCGATAATGACAATCAGTATAAACGGTTTTATTCCATAACGGTTCCGTGTGTTGGTATATGACGGCATCATCCAAAAAACTACGAGAAAGTGTCGCAACAGAACAAAAACTTCCACATAATTAGATAGAGAGATAACAAACAGGGTTTAATATATCATACTGACATCTCAGTTTTCCATTTGAAAATGATGGGCACCAGGAAGAGAAAGGATGTCAATTCGTAAAACACATTGTAAATAGTATGTGTAATATCCTCATCAATGTGTAGACTATTACCAACATATATTTATGCAAACGAGAATTAAGAACAAGGAATATTGACTCGAATTTGGGGCTTTTCCTGTCGACGAATTTTGAATTTGGTCACATCAAGTACACAAATCTGTAGAAATATGTTTAAAAAAGTGAGTTTGTAGAGGGAGACATGTTTCAACATGTTTTCTGTAAGTCTTTGTGTCACACATATACTTCTGTTTTAGCTATGAAAGTACATCACTCGGTCAGATACTTAATGCACATGTCAGATGTAAGCACTGCTTGTTACCAATGCCAGTGTTTGTGAATATTTCAATATTGTAAATTGTGTGGGAAATCAAAGATTAATATTTATACTATATTTTACAGCAAGTTGTGTTTCATCTGTATCAATAAAAACAATTATGCTCGGGACACGAAATTCTTACAAGGGACAATAACTCCGTAATTAAGCGGTTGTGGGCCTGACTTTGGTACAATGCACATTATTTTAGTATGACAATGAACACACTAAGTTCCATTGTCCTAGTTTATATGTTAACAAAGTTATGCTCCAGATATGATGTTTTAATAAAGGGCAATAACTCTATAGATAAAGGGTATCATATAGGGATATTGTAAGAAAATGGTGTGAAATTCAAAGTTTTCATTTGATTAAAGGAATTTTACAAAATGATCCAAACTAAATCAATTCCTTTATTTGACAAACTTCTGGTATTACACTTTTTAAAGACTTTATGTTTGGATAGAGAAACTTTCGATGATACTTTTCATGATTTAGAAAAGATGGGGTCTTCTTGCTTATATGTAGTTTTTTTAATTTTCACCCAAAGTCAGTTTTTCCAAGATCAAGAAACAAGCCGAAATATTTATTACCGGGTCCTAAAATTCGGGACAGTAGTCCACAAAGGCGGAATATTCATGAATTTGAAATCAGTGATTTGTGGAAAATGCTTGCACAATTTATTTGAAATCTTTCCTGTCTTTCAGAATACACAAGATAAGTAGCTCAGCAATCAAAAAACCAGAAGTGGTTGATGCTACTTTCCGAATCACACCGTCAACTACGTCCCCAGAAAAGTCATCCACAAATTTCTTCAAAACATCATAAAACTGCTCTTTTTGAGTTTAGAAGTACAACTTTATAGATAAGACAATAGACCCATGAGTCTAACGGTCATTTCAGATGGTCAAGTCTTTGGATAGTTTTAGAACCTGTCCGTCAGTCCCAGTGTTTTGGTAGACAGAACTGATAAATACATACTTATAAGGTTTTTGTTGTTTCTAAATTTGAAGGCTTATTTTTTTTAAATGGAACTGATAATACTGTCAGTTGTTGTAGTTTAGCATATTTAACCCCTGTGACTTGAACGAAGGTCAAGGTCACATTTGAACAAACACCATAGCCCTTCATCCCAAGCATGCTATTGAGCCAACATCATGACATTTTTACCAAGATAAAACCTTTCTTTGTGTTTCATTGGCTGTAGGTACATGAAGTAAGGTCTTGACATCGGTTCGGACTGTTATGTATTTCAGATATGTTATTTTGTCAAGCTGTATCACTTGAACAATTGAACTATAAGACCTCACATTCGGGCAATTTTTGTTACTGTAACATGTCCTGCATCCAGAAATGAAAAAACACTATTGTGTTGAGATCAACTCACCATAGATTATTATGGGTATATATTTCATTGAGTGTATTTTTCCTCATCATGTCTGGCATCCTTTATGATCAATCAATCCATCCTGGGATACCAGGGTTGTGTTGTTGACTGGCATGAGAATGAAAATCAACCATGAACTACAGACCACACATCCTTGCAACTTTTTGGCAATGGAAGTCCAGACTTGCATGTCTTACATTGGAAAAGTGATGGTTTTTAAATTATAACTAGCAGTGACTCATTTCTGATGTTAATAACTAGGGAATCATAGACAAAGAGATGAAAAATTAACTTAATTTAAATAATTTATGTTATAAACAAGAAGTTTATCAAAAATCTTGCTCATCTCGAGGGAAAAAAACAAACAATAAAAAAACCCTACTTTTGACTTTTTTGTTATCAAAATGTCATTCCCATTCAAATAATGATTTGATGTAATACATGTGTACTTTTGGTCACTGTGAGCTAAATCAAGCATCTCTGTGACTTAGTGATGTCATCAGAGAGGCATGTACATTCACATGTCTGATACACATGTCCATTATTCCAGGTGAGCAAATATGAGGTCATGTCTGTGGATATTTTTTTAAGAAAAATGTTTCACCAGTCAGTTCTTTAACATAAATAGAATAAAATAAATAAAATAGCATGAACACATTTCAATTAATTCCTAAATTTGTTTAGAGACAATTCATTGACAGAGCGTATCTGTCGAGAAATAACAGAAAAACCTACTGGGAAACTAAATGAATATCCGTAACGCATTCATGATAAGTTTGCAAATAGGTTTTTCTTTCATACCATCATGAAGTTAAAAATGTCCCTATCAAAGCTTTAACCAATTTCTCAGATGGGTTCAAAAACAAAAATAACACATAAATGTATAAATTTTTTAATGAAGGATTATTTCATAAGAAATCACTACGCATAACTGCATGACAGCCAATCCACATCATTTTCAGTCATTCAAAATTCAGTCATGAGTGTGCTTGTAACATTTGAAATGGCAATATGTAAAAATATAAGGCAACATATTTTCCCCCTCGTAAATCTGTTATTTATCCATTATGTTGTTTACATTATAAAATATTGGAATATTTTTTGATGTTGTAGTCAAATAATTTGTTTATATTACATCATTGAATGACAGAGCCACACACTGGGTGAATGCATAGACAGATATTTCATTTATACAAGAAAGAAGTTCCAACAGACCCACTGAAAGATAGCGTGTTGCCTATGACTCCTCCAGTCACTATTAGCTGGGCAGAGCTTGATTTATTTTATCAAGAAATTAAAAGAATACATCAATGAATCAGAAAGCTGCATTTTGCATCTATACAAAAAAAAAAATGAATTACCCATATTACCAGTTAAAAGCAAGAACAGTATTTCAGTGATTCAATGAATATAACAACTGGTTGAGGTAAAGTGATTTAATCACCATTCAATGTACAATGTTATGGGTTCTTTGGCATTCTAAAGATTTGGAACAATTCTGACAATAAAATACAAATAAAAATCAACATGAACTATAAATTAAAGTTCATGTAATATTTAAAATATATATTTCATTTAATATTTAAGTAAATATATATCAGCATCATGATATCATTAAAACAGAAGACTCAACATCAATGTTTTCATCTCAACAGACATAAACATCAATAATATTTTATCAGTGTACAATATTGATCACAGATTTATGAAAGTTTTCAACTTCATCATTCATATAGTTATACTTCAATTTCTACCTATATCAGAATTGCTTCGCAGTTCATAAAATTTTTCAAAATAACTATTACATTTATTTAGATATTACTTTAAAACTTAAATAATTGTCAAATTACGTATTTTATTTGTCAAGGTGTTGACAGTCTTAATTCTTAATCTTTTAACAAATGTTGTAGAATAAATAGACTACATAGCAAGTGTCTTTGAGAAATTAGCTGTATCTTGATTCAGAAGAGCAGGACCAATTTTTAAAGCAGCTTGCCACTTTAGTCATTTCCCTCGCCAAAATGCTATTTATGTTTAAAGAGACTGGACGACGTACTCTCTATAAATCAACACCAAATAGTCAGGGTCACTTTGTATCACCATATCTGTAAAGAAAGTTCTGTCATCCATTACAATACTTTTACTGTGTAATCAGTTATTTTTGTGGGTGATTTATTTTCATTGATTTTGTGGATACACTTCATATGTCCATGAACTTTTAAAATTAAGTTTAGGCTTATTTACCCACCAAATCAAATGTCTACATAATTTTGGGAGTTTTTTTTTCTTTTTTTTGGAAAAACTGTAAAAAAATTAGCACCCTGGTTCTATATGATTTTACAGAACTATCACAGTTATGATTCAATTAAATTCATTTTAAACAATTGCAGAAATTCAGTTTACTTCTACTCAGTCTGATCAGAATACAACCCTCAATATATATATCACAAATATCACAGGTTGAATGGCTATGCCGACCTTGGCCACTGCTTGTAAATATGGGCAGCATCTGTATTGACTAGGAATTTGTATAGATAAATCATCATAGTGTGTCGATCTTTCTCTCCCATCTACATTCACATGTAATCTAATTTACAAAACCAAACTGATGTTACAGCCTCTCCAGTAATACACAGCCATGCCAAGGTATTTACATCACCCATGTAAAATGCCTAGTACAGAATAAAATTGAATGTATATGAAGAAATTGTCTGTCTTAACAAAAACAATAGTGGTACTACTCCACAATAGCTCAGCATGCGTACAACATGACAACATAACAATTACTGTCATAAAAACAGCACAATTAAATACATATTAAATACGCCTGAAGGAAATGGAACAAAAAAATGTTCGCACAGAACTTTAAACAATTAAGTATTGATTTAAAACTTTCTGACAATCCAATTCACCCAAATTATAACATTAAAAAACCGCCTCCTGCAAATCATATATATTGAAAATAATTTGCATAGTGTCTTGGAACAATACAATCTATATGTCAGTATGTACTTATCTGCATCATATTTTCCAATTTCTGTTTATTGGTTTTAGTAATTGAACATTAAATATCATTTGGAAACAATGTTTATCTTTGAACCTGAAACATTTTAAAACTTGTATTGGCAGTAAATTTTGGAAATTTAGTGTGAACAGCATCCTGAAGAGAAGAACATTTTGTACAGTAAGATTGATATAATCCCGATTAAGATCATGCCAAAGACGTTCATAAGGTCAGTGATCGGAACCTTCTTAACGGCCTTAGTGGCTCCGCTCCATGAGTGAGGACCTTGTAGCCGCCACTGATAGGCTCCACAGCTGCCCCACAGCAAACTATTAACAACAATATATAATCATTTGTACTTATGTGATAAATGCTTATTAATATATTTATAGGAAAGGTGGGCTTATTATAGGACAATTAAATAGTTGTCATACTAAGCAGGAAAGGTGGGCTTATTATAGAACAATTAAATAGTTGTCATACTGAACAGGAAAGGTGGGCTTATTATAGGACAATTAAATAGTTGTCATACTGAACAGGAAAGGTGGGCTTATTATAGGAAAATTAAATGGTTGTCATACTGAACAGGAAAGGTGGGCTTATTATAAGACAATTAAATAATTGTCATACTGAACAGGAAAGGTGGGCTTATTATAGGAAAATTAAATGGTTGTCATACTGAACAGGAAAGGTGGGCTTATTATAAGACAATTAAATAGTTGTCATACTGAGCAGGAAAGGTGGGCTTATTATAGAACTATGAAATGGTTGTCATACTGAACAGGAAAGGTGGGCTTATTATTGGAGAATGAAATGGTTGTCATACTGAACAGGAAAGGTGGGCTTATTATAGGACAATTAAATAGTTGTCATACTGAGCAGGAAAGGTGGGCTTATTATAGAACTATGAAATGGTTGTCATACTCAACAGGAAAGGTGGGCTTATTATTGGAAAATGAAACAGTTGTCATACTGAGCAGGAAAGGTGGGCTTATTATAGAACTATGAAATGGTTGTCATACTGAACAGGAAAGGTGGGCTTATTATTGGAAAATGAAACAGTTGTCATACTGAGCAGGAAAGGTGGGCTTATTATAGAACTATGAAATGGTTGTCATACTCAACAGGAAAGCTGGGCTTATTATAGGACAATTAAATAGCTGTCATACTGAGCAGGAAAGGTGGGCTTATTATAGAACTATTAAATAGTTGTCATACTGAACAGGAAAGGGGGGGGGGGGCTGATTATAAGGTATATGCTTATTGCAGAATGCATTCAGTAAATTAAGTTCAGGTAATTAATAACCAAATTTTGGTACAAACCCTGTAATGTCAATGAATCAACATAGTTTAAAAACCGTCCCTGGTGATTCTGGTGAAAGAAAATATATCTTACTTCCAAATTAGACTTGGATTTTTCAAAAAACTTGGTTTTGCACCGATAAATCCAGCAATTTCATCATTGTAGATGACTGGGTCCCTCTGCAGTGTGTGTCTGGGTGAGTTGTAGTAACGACTTGATACTTCTTCCTGAACAATATTTTATAGACATAACAAGGTATAGGGTTAGATACCTCATTAAACTATTGGTACAATAATCTACATCAATTAGGTATTAACCATATTAGTCCATATATTCTGGTAATTGACTCCTCAAAATGAAAGATTACTACTTCAGAAAACATGCAATGACTGAATAAACAAATGTCTCTATACATTGTACATGATAATTAGTAAACGGCTTTTAACACCAGACTGCATTCCTATCAATTTTATTTTGTGTCAAGCAAAATTTCTTACATTTCATGAAAAAAAAAAAATTAGCTTGACTTCACTAGTGTAACTGTGGTTGTTTTCTGATATTAATTCTGGGTGCAATCAAAATAATTACTATAGTAAAGCCAGTTACTGGTTTAGTTATAATTTTGTTATATTTTTTAATTCATTTTGATTTCATTGTATCAATAAGTTCTCTTGTATATTTTAAAGAAAACTTAAAAACTTTAAATTAGTTTTTATCTAAAGATACGTGAAAAAATCATTTCTAAATGTTTATGCTCCCTGAAAATTTCCAGGAGAGTATAAAGTCATCGCTTTGTCTGTCTGTCTGTCCATCTGTCAGTCCATCTTTCTTTTCTTGTCAGGGGCATAACTTTGCCCACTGTTAAGAAAGGATCATGATTTATTTTGTCATACTAAGGCAATGTGTTGTGTACCAAATTCAGTTGTTCTACAGAATTATTGTTCTTTTTTCAAATTTTGAGTCCAACAAAGTTGATTTCAGGGAGCAATCATCAGTTTCACTGATGCTCCTGTATCTAGCTCAAATGCCAAAAAGTGCTATGTGAGCTAGAGGAATACAGCTTCACCTCATCCATCTGTCCTCTGACAACTTTTCCTATGCATTGCAACTGGTCACAAACAACTTATCAGTTTAAATAAAATTTGGTCTGAGGCATCCTTGGGGGAAGTGGGAACCAATTCTGTATAAACAGTGGGTCTGGCCTCCCTAGGGCCAGAGGAATTTGACCCAATAGAAGAAATGGAGAAAATTCCTTAAAATCCTACTCCTCTTGTAGGGATCATTGGATTTTGCCTATATTTGTTCTGAAGGATCCTTTGATGAAGAGGAATAAGATTTGTATAAACATTTGGTTTTGGCCGTTTAAGGATGGATGGGCAGGGCCCTGGATGTTGCCCCGATTTGGCCCAAAGCAAGCTTGAGTGAAGACCAATCAATTTGTAGAAATGTCCCGTAGGGCAGATGGGGTAGTGCTGAATAAGGGAAATAGGGCAAATCCATTAAAATCATTCTTAGGAATGCCTGGATTTAGTTCCAATTTGACCTTAGACATGCTTTGGTGAAGGGGATCAATTTTGAAAATTGATAATGTCATTCCCTAACTTGAAGGTAGGACAGAGAAATCACACAACGATCTGTTTTCTACATTGTATCTCCAACATACTAGAAATAGAATAATGAGACAAACATATTTTATGGATATCACTGAAATAAAATCAACCTTTCACTCTCACTGGAATTTGGTCATGCCTAGAGTGGATGTCTTATGAATTGCTACAAGCTGGCAGAACAACATACCTACACAACAAGTGTAAACACTAGACCATCACTGACCTGTTCCGACTTCATGCTGCCCATCATTTCAGACTTGGACGGAAGTTTGATCGTTCCTTTACATAACTCGGCAAACCAGCGTGCCTGTATCTCTGACATGGACAGCACACCTCCGGATGCTGGCTGGACAAATCCAACAAAAGCTAGAGTTGGACCAATCTCAGGGCTGAACACACTCTTGTAGAGCTACAGGAAATAACAGTATATATGTATACAATAAATATCTGTGTCGTGTATATAACCTGTAATAAGCCAGGATAGCCAATGAGATGATGGGCAAGACAACAATTTTTTTACATTTTTTTGCCATCTTGATTTCGGATCAGTCCAAAAAAGGTACAATGCACAACTAGGGACCAAGGGGAACCTGCATATGAAATTTGAGAAAGATCCATCCAGTACTTTCCAAGAAATAGCAGTAACAAACTTTTACATCCAAAATCCAAGATGGCCACCTGTCGGCCATCTTGAATTCGAATCAGTCAAAAAAAGGTACAATGCACAACTAGGGACCATGGGGAAACTGCATATGGAATTTGAGAAAGATCCATCCAGTACTTTCCAAGAAATAGCGGTAACAAACTTTTACATCCAAAATCCAAGATGGCCACCTGTCGGCCATCTTGAATTTGAATCAGTCAATAAAAGGTACAATGCACAACTAGGGACCATGGGGAAACTGCATATGGAATTTGAGAAAGATCCATCCAGTACTTTTCCAGAAATAGCGGTAACAAGAATTGTTTACGAACGGACGACGGACCACGGACGCAGGGCGATTTGAATAAAAGGATAAAGAATGCATTGTGGAGTTATGATGATAGACTACATGTTTCAAATATACATACAAAGCAGCAAATTTCAAACTGGCATCAAATAAATGGGAAATTTTACAAATGAAATATTCATTGATTGGTGATGAATAACAATTGTGTTTCCTAGTGGAAACTTTGGTATCTTTCACTTGTGCATCAAATTTTCCATCCAATGCGATGAAATAAAACTTCTTCATTAAGAAGCAAAGAATACATGTATTGTCTATTTATCAACTGATTGGTATCAGAGCAGCTTTAATAGATGTAAACAGACCTATTACTGAATAAAAACAGCATTTCTGTTTGTTCTGTAAAAAACGTTCAATTTGTCTATTGTGACCTGGGTGACACTGATCATACCCATGACTGGTTCATGACAGAATCAATAGTACAGTTCTGGTTAGCACTGCGCTAACCACCAAGTAGATAGCTGATTTTGTTTCTACCCTACTACATTTTAAAGGTAATAAGCCTATGCCGAACAGTAAGTTTATAATATTTCTCAGCACAACTAGAACAATGACAGGTCAGAAAGAGTCCCACTATGTGGCTGGAAATCCCCCACCCACCATCAGACACACACACCCCAGATTGAGATTACCAGCAAGATCTTAAGTATATTCTGCCACAAAAGTCAAGAAAGCTGTTATGAAAAGAAAAAAAAAATTATCTCAGAGGGCATCCACCATTGTTGGATTTTTATTTTTTTCCTTTCTTTTCTCTTCTTTGTTTTTGCTTTGAATGATAAGAAATTTGAACATTAATCCTTTGCAGAAATAGTGATAAATATCTGTAAATGCCAAATCTAAGATGGTCAGCTGGAAGTCATTCCGGTTTTTTTCTGATCAGTCCCAAGATCAAGCAGGCACAACCAGAGATAAAGAGGAATCTACATATGAAATTGGAGAAAGATCTATCCAGTACTTCTCATGAAATAGTGATAACAAACTTTACTAGATGAAATCCAAGATGGCAGCCAGTTGACCATTTTGTTTTTCTGATCAGATTACTATAGGGCAACTGCACTTTCCTGTGGGGCCCTTATTACCTACAAATACTTCTTCAATGTTCTGTATTGAGCCCATCCTGATTTTGAGATAACGTGTTGGTCCTTTGGATAATATGGGATAAATACCATACATATGAACATTTATATACTAAAATTCTGATAAACTTGAGTATTTAGGACAGTTTTGTTCTACTGTATCATTTTGCAATTTCCTTTCTCACAACATAACTATACGTCTAAAGGCTGGATATACAGAGAAGATTGATGTTACAACTGTGCACCTTTACAGCATTAGTATCTCTGTCCAGTACCATGTTCTGTAGGTCATCACTGAGGAAAGGAAGGTCAACCTTGTACCCTGTACAGTAGATAATATGGTCAAATTCAGCATGCTCTCCATTCATAAAGAAGACTTCTTTGTTTTCTATTCTCTACAATAAAAAGGAATAAAGAAACTTTTAAGGCTATCTACCAGTAACAACATATAACAACTGTATTTTATATAAAATTGTGTGACCTGTATCTTAATGATGGTTAGTTGGTTAAAGGACTTTTTGTCTCTAGACTTTACTATGTGTTGTCTTACTGACGAATGTAAGTGTTCTGACAACATGCAATATCTTAATGATGACCTTGACATATAATGAATGACCTTGAGGTATAAGGTAATGTGAGGTGTATCTGAACAGAATCTCTCACCTGTATATTTGGGACGACCTTGACTTCATGTCGCTGTATGTGATGTATGAGTGTGGGGCTGACAGTTGGCTGCGTCTGGAGAGCATGCATCTTTGGGTTTAAGTTCCACCTATGAAGTACAAAGCTTTAGGACTAACCTAAGAGGAACTTTGATACCAACCAGAATATCAAAATTTGTTGTGAAATGAAAGTATAGTACATGAAAGCTGTCCTAGTGTGCAATTGGTTTTATTGTGGGAGGAAACAGGAGTAAGTGAGAAAATCCATGTGGTCGGGTAGGTAGCCACACACCTTTTCGCATTGGTTTTGGCAATCCAACCCCAAACAGTGTCTAGTTAAAAAGCAAGTGGGTAAACCACTGATGTGCCACTCAGAGTTTTCAGTTTGAATGGAAGTGAATATGTGCATTCACTGGCAATTATTCAGAATATACAACAGTGAAAACTGCTCAATTCATTTCAAAAGTAGTATGATTCAGATTTTATATAATGTACTTTACCATTCGAATTTATCAGGTATGTGACAATGAAGAAATTTATTGAATTATAGTGATAATACACCTCCCCAACCAGATTCCAACCATTCTTTTGATCACTTTTTTCTCACTTGCTTTCTAGGTTTACAAATTTAGGCCCCTAGCCTCATTGAGGAGCCCTAGAAGGATGATATAGCTAACGAAGCAGACTAATTTATTATTTGGATCTTCTGAGTCTAATTCTAATTCTACAATCATCTCTAAACAATACATATACATATATAAAATTATGTTTAAAATTGGTGCTCGACAATATCAAAGAAAAATATTAATAACATAAAATTATGTCACCATCCAACTTTTAGATTAAGATTTATTTTCATCCACAATTAAGGATGTCTAACTGACGCATATAAGCAAATCCAATCAAAATTAAATACAAACTTATCGAATCCTGAAATCCTTACCTCTGACTCTGATCATCACCTGCACTTAGGCAGGTCACACTCTACCAACTGAACCTGAATTATCCAAACCCCCTACCCCCAACTCCCTCGACCCTCCTCCATTGTTTTGTGTAATGGTTAATCACATGTACACAAAATGACATACAAATACAGACCATGATTTAAGTTGTAACAAGGATTCTGCAGTAATAAGGTAATTGTCAGACCTTTTTGGATTTCCTGAAATCAATTTGATGACAGTCTCTAAGATGTAAGTGGCAAATTTCCATGGTAACCTAAGAAAGACTCTACAGGCATATAGGTCTGCCGGATAGCCTAAGACGTAGTTAGAAAAGACCCAAGCTCCAGACCTGGAACTGATGTACACAGCTTTACACCTGTAATACAAATACACAATAAATCAGTACACAATAAATCAGTACACAATAAAATCAGTACACAATAAATCAGTACACAATAAAATCAGTACACAATAAAATCAGTACACAATAAATCAGTACACAATAAAATCAATACACAATAAATCAGTACACAATAAATCAGTACACAATAAATCAGTACACAATAAAATCAATACACAATAAATCAGTACACAATAAAATCAATACACAATAAATCAGTACACAATAAAATCAGTACACAATAAATCAATACACAATAAATCAGTACACAATAAATCAGTACACAATAAATCAGTACACAATAAAATCAATACACAATAAATCAGTACACAATAAAATCAATACACAATAAATCAGTACACAATAAAAACAGAACACAATAAATCATTACACAATAAATCAGTACACAATAAAATCAGTACACAATAAAATCAGTACACAATAAATCAATACACAATAAATCAGTACACAATAAAATCAATACACAATAAATCAGTACACAATAAATCAGTACACAATAAAATCAGTACACAATAAATCAGTACACAATAAATCAGTACACAATAAAATCAATACACAATAAATCTGTACACAATAAATCAGTACACAATAAATCAGTACACAATACAAGAGATCCCAGAGGGATCTTGGCGCCCACCATTTGAGGATCTGTTTTCAGTTCTTGATGATTTGTTTATTTTTTTTGTGTGTTACAGGTGTTGTAAATGTTCATGAACTGGTCTTCATTGAATGTACTCAATGATGGCACAAGATATTTTTATTAAGCACCTATTAGCAAATATCATTTGAAAAAGATCCCAAAGTATTATTAGATAGCAGTCAGTTACAGGTGGATAATGGACAATATGCTTGTGCTGTATTACTGTCGACACCCAAGATGGCTGCCTGTGGGCCACCTTGATTTCAAATCAGTCCAAAAAAGGTACAATGAACAACTAGGGACCAAGGGAAACCAATATCTATGAAATATCAGAAGGATCCATCCAGTACTTCCTCAGATATAGCAGTAACAAGATTTTACTCTCAAAATCCAAGATGGCTGCCTGTCAGCCATCTTGATTTCGGATCCGTCCAAAAAGGTATAATGCACAACTTGGAACCAAAGGGAACCTGCATATGAAATTTGAGAAAGATCCATCCAGTACTTTCCAAGAAATAGCAGTAACAAACTTTTACATTCAAAATCCAAGATGGCCACCTGTCTGCCATCTTGAATTCGAATCAGTCAAAAAAGGTACAATGCACAACTAGGGACCAAGGGGAACCTGCATATGAAATTTGAGAAAGATCCATCCAGTACTTTCCATGAAATAGCGGTAACAAACTTTTACAGCCAAAATCCAAGATGGCCACCTGTCCGCCATCTTGAATTCGAATCTGTCCAAAAAAGGTACAATGCACAACTAAGGAACAAGGGGAAACTGCATATGAAATTTGAGGAAGATCCATCCAGTACTTCCTCAGATATAGCAGTAACAAGATTTTACTCTCAAAATCCAAGATGGCTGCCTGTCCGCCATCTTGAATTCGAATCAGTCTAAATAAGGTACAATGCACAACTAGGGACCAAGGGGAAACTGCATATGAAATTTGAGGAAGATCCATTTAGTACTTTCTCAGAAATAGCGGTAACAAACTTTTACTTCCAAAATCCAAGATGGCCACCTGTCGGCCATTTTGAATGCGAATCAGTTCATAAAAGGTACAATGCACAACTAGGGACCAAGGGGAACCTGCATATGAAATTTGAGAAAGATCCATCCAGTTCTTTTCCAGAAATAGCGGTAACAAGAATTGTTTACGGACGGACGGACGGACCACGGACGCAGGGCGATTTGAATAACCCACCATCTATTTGAATAGATGGTGGGCTAAAAATCAGTACACAATAAATCAATACACAATAAATCAATAATAAATCAGTACACAATAAATCAATAATAAATCAGTACACAATAAATCAATACACAATAAAATCAGTACACAATAAATCAGTACACAATAAATCAGTACACAATAAAATCAGTACACAATAAATCAATAAACAATAAAATCAGTACACAATAAATCAGTACACAATAAAATCAATACACAATAAAATCAGTACACAATAAATCAATAAACAATAAAATCAGTACACAATAAAACAGAACACAATAAAATCAATACACAATAAAATCAGTACACAATAAATCAATAAACAATAAAATCAGTACACAATAAATCAGTACACAATAAAATCAATACACAATAAATCAATAATAAATCAATACACAATAAATCAGTACACAATAAAATCAGTACACAATAAATCAATACACAATAAATCAATAATAAAATCAGTACACAATAAATCAATAATAAATCAGTACACAATAAAATCAATACACAATAAATCAATAATAAATCAATACACAATAAAATCAGTACACAATAAAATCAGTACACAATAAATCAATAATAAATCAATACACAATGAATCAATTCAGAAAAAAAAGATGAAAGAACCTTTTACTTTCGAATGTTATACTTTTTTTCTTATGAAATTTCATTATCATAAAGATAATTTTCAATAATGCACAATTTTATTCAGATAATCCTGGAACATTTTCTTTATTATATTACAATTCCACTTAATTCACTATTTCTATGCAGAATTTCACTAGATTATTTAATCAATACTGATTTATTACATATGTTGCCATTTTCTTATCAACTACAAACATTTGTTTGAACAGGATGACCAATTAACAAGGGTCACATTCAAAATAACCTTGAAATATTAGGACAATTAACCTAGCTTATCAAAAACCCAATCAATAAATTGTTCTATGTGCCAGGATCAGGTCTAATTTGAACTTTTCCAGTTACTGACAAGTTTTGTAAATAATATTGCTGTATTTACAATAAAGCCATACCTGCCAACCGAAGCACAGTTAACGGCAGCATCGACAGCACTGTTCCCAATACCGACCACTAACACACGTTTTCCTACCATACCATTAGACAGAGCATCATTAAAGTCTACAGAATGAATTGCTTCCCCTGAAATTTTAAGATTTGTACAAGATTAAATGAAAATTTTGAAAATACAGTCAAACCTGCTTTTAAGGCCATCTGTAAACGACAAATACTTGTTTTTCTACCCTAATGGTTTTCAGCCCTGACGTATTTATTGAACCTCTCAATAGAGGTCACCTCCCTATCAAGACAAATTTTCTGTGCTTGCTTCAGTGGCCTTTGTAGACAGGTTTGACTGTATAACATTAAACAACAGCTGAAGTTAAAAAGAAAGAAAATTGACTGCATTATTAAAACTAGTGATCAAAATTATAACACAGCCACAATTCACCACACTAACAGGTAATGTAGACATCAAAATTACAGAACGGACATTCAATATAACTGAAATATCTAATAGGCAAAATTAAAAAATATACATGTATAATATATCACAAAACAAAATGCAGAAGTGTCTTATGATGTTAATTTCACAGGACATAAACAGGGATTCTTCAAACCAAATTTGGACAAAGTTCTGCCATTCCTAAGACTGATAAAATCTCAGGAAAGAGAGTCAGGAAATTCCTCAGACTGATAAAGTCTTAGGAAAGACAGTCAAGAATTCCCTCAGAGTGTAAAAGTCTTAGGAAAGACAGTCTGGAATTCACTCAGACTGATAAAGTCTCAGGAAAGACAGTCAGGAATTCCCTCAGACTAATAACGTGTCACAAAAAACAGTCAGGAATTCCCATAGACTTATAGAGTCTCAGCAAAGACAGTCAGGAATTCCTTAAGACTCATAACGTCTCAGGAAAGACAGTCAGGAATTCCCTCAGAGTGATAAAGTCTCAGGAAAGACAGTCAGGAATTCCCTCAGACTGTAAAAGTCTCAGGAAAGACAGTCAAGAATTCCCCCAGACTGTAAAAGTCTCAGGAAAGACAGTCAAGAATTCCCCCAGAGTGTAAAAGTCTCAGGAAAGACAGTCAGGAATTCCCCCAGACTGATAGAGTCTCAGGAAAGACAGTCAGGAATTCCCTCAGACTGATAAAGTCTCAGGAAAGACAGTCAGGAATTCTCTCAGACTGATAAAGTCTCAGGAAAGACAGTCAGGAATTCCCTCAGAATGATAGAGTCTCAGGAAAGACAGTCAGGAATTCCCACAGATTGATAAAGTCTCAGGAAAGACAGTCAAGAATTCCCTTAGAGTGTAAAAGTTTTAGGAAAGACAGTCAAGAATTCCCTCAGATTGTCAAAGTCTTAGGAAAGACAGTCAGGAATTCCCTCAGACTGATAAAGTCTCAGGAAAGACAGTCAAGAATTCCCATAGACTTATAGAGTCTCAGGAAAGACAGTCAGGAATTCCCTCAGAATGATAGAGTCTCAGGAAAGACAGTCTGGAATTCCCTCAGAATGATAGAGTCTCAGGAAAGACAGTCAGGAATTCCCATAGACTTATAGAGTCTCAGAAAGACAGTCAGGAATTCCTATAGACTTATAGAGTCTCAGGAAAGACAGTCAAGAATTCCCTCATATTGATAAAGTCTCAGGAAAGACAGTCAGGAATTCTCTCAGACTGATAGAGTCTCAGGAAAGACAGTTAGGAATTCCCATAGACTTATAGAGTCTCAGAAAGACAGTCAGGAATTCCCATAGACTTATAGAGTCTCAGAAAGACAGTCAGGAATTCCCTCAGAGTGATAAAATCTCAGGAAAGGCAGTCAGGAATTCCCTCAGACTGATAACTTCTCAGGAAAGACAGTCAGGAATTCCCTCAGACTGATAAATTCTCAGGAAAGACAGTCTGGAATTCCCTCAGAATGATAGAGTCTCAGGAAAGACAGTCAGGAATTCCCTCAGACTGATAGAGTCTCAGGAAAGAGAGTTAGGAATTCCCATAGACTTATAGAGTCTCAGAAAGACAGTCAGGAATTCCCATAGACTTATAGAGTCTCAGAAAGACAGTCAGGAATTCCCTCAGAGTGATAAAATCTCAGGAAAGGCAGTCAGGAATTCCCTCAGACTGATAACTTCTCAGGAAAGACAGTCAGGAATTCCCTCAGACTGATAGAGTCTCAGGAAAGACAGTCTGGAATTCCCTCAGTATGATAGAGTCTCAGGAAAGACAGTCAGGAATTCCCATAGACTTATAGAGTCTCAGAAAGACAGTCAGGAATTCCTATAGACTTATAGAGTCTCAGAAAGACAGTCAGGAATTCCCTCAGAGTGATAAAATCTCAGGAAAGGCAGTCAGGAATTCCCTCAGACTGATAAAGTTTCAGGAAAGGCAGTCAGGAATTCCCTCAGACTGATAAAATCTCAGGAAAGACAGTCAGGAATTCCCTCAGACTGATAAAGTCTCAGGAAAGGCAGTCAGGAATTCCCTCAGACCGATAAAATCTCAGGAAAGACAGTCAGGAATTCCCTCAGACTGATAAAGTTTCAGGAAAGACAATCAGGAATTCCCTCAGACTGATAAAGTTTCAGGAAAGGCAGTCAGGAATTCCCTCAGACTGATAAAATCTCAGGAAAGACAGTCAGGAATTCCCTCAGACTGATAAAGTCTCAGGAAAGGCAGTCAGGAATTCCCTCAGACCGATAAAATCTCAGGAAAGACAGTCAGGAATTCCCTCAGACTGATAAAGTTTCAGGAAAGACAATCAGGAATTCCCTCAGACTGAGACATTTCTCTGTTACATCCACATGCCAACAATGATATGGGTTAGAAAGTTATCCGATTTCTCTCTGCTTATTTAGGGACAGTGTAAGGACACCTATCAATCCCATTGATAATAATGGAGTGAAAACAGAATATTTCTGAGAATGACAACTGTATTCCCACTGCATGTGGTAGCATCATGACATTCCCTGGAATTTTCTGAAATTCTCGTCACTAAAAATTCATTAAACACACTGACAAGGTCATTGTTGACAAAACAGTCCTACATGCCTAGTCGTTATGGTGACTGACAATCTTAGACAAAACAGTCCTACATGCCTAGTCGTTATGGTGACTGACAATCTTAGACAAAACAGTCCTAGATGCCTAGTCGTTATGGTGACTGACAATCTCTTCGGGCAGTCATTAGGTAAGAGAATGTCTTACTGAGCTTCTTATAGCCAGGGTCAATTTGAGGCCAGGAAACTGGTGGCTATCACTGAATAACACGTTGGATACACAGCAAATGAAACAAAGTCACTGGCCCACAGACAAAATGACAACATGACAGTTGGGGATACATACCGTATTTATTCCAATAAACGCCCCGTCTCTAATAAACGCCCCCCCACCTGTTTTCTCAGTAAATTTCAACAACTCAGGAGTCAGGTTACAAAGCTTACCTTTTAATAAATTTTAAATTCCTGGTATCCATGAACATGAACAAATGAATTTTGGCACATGAAAATTACACCGTCACGACATGTACACAAGTAATATCAATTTAATCCTTGGTTCATTTCAATATACTGCAGGCCTAACGGCCGGGACTGCCATACGAACTACTGTCTTCACTTTCACTTTCACTTTTGCCAGTCTCGCTTTCACTCAGTTCTATTTGTGGAATAGAAGGTGCGTTCACATCACCCATTAAATTTTGCAAAACATCATCTGCAGCTTGGACATCCTTTTCACTAAACCCCTGGAATTCCTCATCGTCAGAATCATGCTGGAAAATATGATCCTCGCTACTGTCCAGCGAATTTGTGATACCGCATTTTTTTAACGATCTTCTGATTGTGTCCGGGCTAATGCTATCCCATGCTGTCTTGACCCAATACAACATTACAGCTTTAGATGGTGCTTTACGATTCCCTGCTTTGGTTTTCTCAATGGGGCCACTGAAACACCATTCGTCATACAACTCTCCAAGTTTTTGTTTGAAGGCTTTATTCCACGACACATCGGCTGGCTGTAGCTTACATGTACATCCTCCCGGTATAACAAAGATGTCTGAATTATATTTTTGACGAACCAGTTTTTTTACATCTTCAGTAAGATGACCACGGAAAGCGTCCCATACTAATAACCGCCTAGCTGTATTATTCACACCCCAGAGTTTTTTTAACCAAACTTTTATACTTTCCTCGTTTGCCCAGGATTTTTGTCCGGCCCCGCACATGTATACCACAATACCACTTGGTATGTCATCTTTCGGAAGGGGACGAATACCTGGCATGTGCACAAGGGGGGCGATTTTAGTCCCATCGGCATATGCTGCCAGTGTCACCGTTATTTTTTGTTTTTCATGGCCAGTACTGTAAACTCTGACCTCCTTTTCCCCCTTTATTGCCAATGTCCATTTTCCTGGCATGTCAAACCACACTGGGGTTTCGTCCATGTTAGCGATTTGGCTATCGAGGTATTCTCGTAGCCGATGCATTCTTAACACGAAATTAAAAAAACTGTCAATACGATCATCAATTAATGAAACTTCATGTTGTGCCACATACGTAGATCGCCTGAACGAAATGTTATGTCTCTTTTTGAATTTAGAAAACCATCCATATGAGGCTTTGAACGATTGACTACCATTTGCCTTATGCATACGCAGGGCCTCAAATCGCAATGCTTTCCCAGTCACTCGTATTCCGGCCTCCCGTCTGTCCTGTAGCCATCTCATCAGATTTTTGTCAATATCTTCATATCTGACATGCCTCCCACCTCTTTTACAGCGTTTAGATGTTTTAGAAAGATTTTTAAATTTTCCTTTGTTTTGACACCAGTCCCGCACTTGTTTTCTGTCAACACGAAACACTTTCGCGGCGGCATGTTTACCCTTCTCCTCTGCGAAGGCAATTTCCTTTTGCCCCAGACATTGTTATCAGGTATGTGGGATTTATTAAGAAACAGACTGGCTTATATACTGCTGTGTTTTTTTTTATTTTGTTATGCAAACTAGGCCTACAAGCGATGATGAACATTCACTCAGTTCTATTTGTGGAATAGAAGGTGCGTTCACATCACCCATTAAATTTTGCAAAACATCATCTGCAGCTTGGACATCCTTTTCACTAAACCCCTGGAATTCCTCATCGTCAGAATCATGCTGGAAAATATGATCCTCGCTACTGTCCAGCGAATTTGTGATACCGCATTTTTTTAACGATCTTCTGATTGTGTCCGGGCTAATGCTATCCCATGCTGTCTTGACCCAATACAACATTACAGCTTTAGATGGTGCTTTACGATTCCCTGCTTTGGTTTTCTCAATGGGGCCACTGAAACACCATTCGTCATACAACTCTCCAAGTTTTTGTTTGAAGGCTTTATTCCACGACACATCGGCTGGCTGTAGCTTACATGTACATCCTCCCGGTATAACAAAGATGTCTGAATTATATTTTTGACGAACCAGTTTTTTTACATCTTCAGTAAGATGACCACGGAAAGCGTCCCATACTAATAACCGCCTAGCTGTATTATTCACACCCCAGAGTTTTTTTAACCAAACTTTTATACTTTCCTCGTTTGCCCAGGATTTTTGTCCGGCCCCGCACATGTATACCACAATACCACTTGGTATGTCATCTTTCGGAAGGGGACGAATACCTGGCATGTGCACAAGGGGGGCGATTTTAGTCCCATCGGCATATGCTGCCAGTGTCACCGTTATTTTTTGTTTTTCATGGCCAGTACTGTAAACTCTGACCTCCTTTTCCCCCTTTATTGCCAATGTCCATTTTCCTGGCATGTCAAACCACACTGGGGTTTCGTCCATGTTAGCGATTTGGCTATCGAGGTATTCTCGTAGCCGATGCATTCTTAACACGAAATTAAAAAAACTGTCAATACGATCATCAATTAATGAAACTTCATGTTGTGCCACATACGTAGATCGCCTGAACGAAATGTTATGTCTCTTTTTGAATTTAGAAAACCATCCATATGAGGCTTTGAACGATTGACTACCATTTGCCTTATGCATACGCAGGGCCTCAAATCGCAATGCTTTCCCAGTCACTCGTATTCCGGCCTCCCGTCTGTCCTGTAGCCATCTCATCAGATTTTTGTCAATATCTTCATATCTGACATGCCTCCCACCTCTTTTACAGCGTTTAGATGTTTTAGAAAGATTTTTAAATTTTCCTTTGTTTTGACACCAGTCCCGCACTTGTTTTCTGTCAACACGAAACACTTTCGCGGCGGCATGTTTACCCTTCTCCTCTGCGAAGGCAATTTCCTTTTGCCCCAGACATTGTTATCAGGTATGTGGGATTTATTAAGAAACAGACTGGCTTATATACTGCTGTGTTTTTTTTTATTTTGTTATGCAAACTAGGCCTACAAGCGATGATGAACATTGTACGTTTTTGACTGAAGCTGACACGATTGACATCGTGTCATTTCATGCAAGAATTCAGGTTATCAGAATGCAATTGACAACAATGTTTAAAGCTACAACGATGTTGGAAATACTGCAATTTTCAAATGCATTCTTTGCTGAGTAATTTGTTAGTTTGTTAAACAATGGTTTTAAGTGGCAGCCATGGCATGTCACGACCAACAAATTATGAAATTTTGTGTTCTATTAATCGCCCTCTGTCTGAAAAATTTCACGCCCCCGGGGCATTTATTGGAATAAACACGGTATATCAGCTTCTTGAGAAATACAAACTGCCCAGTTAGGATCAAACCATACATTTCAGATCTTCACCTCATGCTCCTAATTCTGCTTCCCTACCTACAACAGTCTTATGTGTGCCCCGTTGCCTACCTACAACAGTCTTATGTGTGCCCCGTTGCCTTCCTACAACAGTCTTATGTGTGCCCCGTTGCCTACCTACAACAGTCTTATGTGTGCCCCGTTGCCTACCTACAACAGTCTTATGTGTGCCCCGTTGCCTACCTACAACAGTCTTATGTGTGCCCCGTTGCCTTCCTACAACAGTCTTATGTGTGCCCCGTTGCCTACCTACAACAGTCTTATGTGTGCCCCGTTGCCTACCTACAACAGTCTTATGTGTGCCCCGTTGCCTACCTACAACAGTCTTATGTGTGCCCCGTTGCCTACCTACAACAGTCTTATGTGTGCCCCGTTGCCTACCTACAACAGTCTTATGTGTGCCCCGTTGAAAATTTGATCATATCTTTATTAGTTTTTGTGAAGGATGAAAATCATGGTTTCCTTTCACTCACAATACACATACCTTTGAAAGAGTCCTGGCCTGGAAACTTGGGTAAGCTAGGCTTAGCATGATGCCCTGTAGCTATAGTAAGAAACTTGGAAATGAATACCTCTGGTTTGTTGATTGATTTTAAAGTCATTCCGTCTTCACTAACTTCCTTGGAAGTGACCTTCCATTCCTTCCCTAAACAGTGTGAGTCACACAAATAAAAACAAAAGTAATATTAACACAGACAGGTATAACAAATATGCTAAGTAATGAGTATACACCTATCTATCTACACTTTTCACTACAACCTCTATACACCTATCTATCTACACTTTTCACTACAACCTCTATACACCTATCTATCTACACTTTTCACTACAACCTCTATACACCTATCTATCTACACTTTTCACTACAACCTCTATACACCTATCTATCTACACTTTACACTACAACCTCTATACACCTATCTATCTACACTTTACACTACAACCTCTATACACCTATTTATTAACACCTTTCACTACCTCTATACACCTAATTATCAACACTTTCCACTACAACCCCTATCAACACTTTACACTACAACCTCTATACACCTATTTATCAACACCTTTCACTACCTCTATACACCTATTGATCAACACTTTACACTACAACCTCTATACACCTATTTATCAACACTTTACAATACAACCTCTATACACCTATTTATCTACACTTTACACTACAATCTCTATACACCTATTTATCTACACTTTACACTACAACCTATATACACTTGTTTATCAACACTTTACACTACAACCTCTATACACTTATTTATCTACACTTTACACTAAAACCTCTATACACCTATTTATCAACACTTTACACTACGACCTCTATACACCTATCTATCTACACTTTACACTACAACCTCTATACTCCTATTTATTAACACCTTTCACTACCTCTATACACCTAATTATCAACACTTTCCACTACAACCCCTATCAACACTTTACACTACAACCTCTATACACCTATTTATCAACACCTTTCACTACCTCTATACACCTATTGATCAACACTTTACACTACAACCTCTATACACCTATTTATCAAAACTTTACAATACAACCTCTATACACCTATTTATCTACACTTTACACTACAATCTCTATACACCTATTTATCTACACTTTACACTACAACCTATATACACTTGTTTATCAACACTTTACACTACAACCTCTATACACTTATTTATCTACACTTTACACTAAAACCTCTATACACCTATTTATCAACACTTTACACTACGACCTCTATACACCTCTTTATCAACACTTTACACTACAACCTCTATACACCTATTCATCAACACTTTACAATACAACCTCTATACACCTATTTATCTACACTTTACACTACAACCTCTATACACCTATTTATCACTTTACACTTTACACTACAACCTCAAATACACCTATTTATCTACACTTTACAATACAACCTCTATACACCTATTAATCAACACTTTACACTACAACCTCTATCAACACTTTACAATACAACCTCTATACACCTATTTATCAACACTTTACACTACAACCTCTATACACCTATTCATCATCTCTTTACACTACAACCTTTATACACCTATTTATCAACACTTTATACTACAACCTCTATCAACACTTTACAATACAACCTCTATACACCTATTTATCAACACTTTACAATACAATCTCTTTGCACCTAATTATCAACACTTTACACTACAACCTCTATACACCTGTTTATCAACACTTTACACTACAACCTCTATACACCTATTTATCTACACTTTACACTACAACCTCTATACACCTATTTATTAACACCTTTCACTACCTCTATACACCTAATTATCAACACTTTCCACTACAACCCCTATCAACACTTTACACTACAACCTCTATACACCTATTTATCAACACCTTTCACTACCTCTATACACCTATTGATCAACACTTTACACTACAACCTCTATACACCTATTTATCAACACTTTACAATACAACCTCTATACACCTATTTATCTACACTTTACACTACAATCTCTATACACCTATTTATCTACACTTTACACTACAACCTATATACACTTGTTTATCAACACTTTACACTACAACCTCTATACACTTATTTATCTACATTTTACACTAAAACCTCTATACACCTATTTATCAACACTTTACACTACGACCTCTATACACCTCTTTATCAACACTTTACACTACAACCTCTATACACCTATTCATCAACACTTTACAATACAACCTCTATACACCTATTTATCTACACTTTACACTACAACCTCTATACACCTATTTATCAACACTTTACACTACAACCTCAATACACCTATTTATCTACACTTTACAATACAACCTCTATACACCTATTAATCAACACTTTACACTACAACCTCTATCAACACTTTACAATACAACCTCTATACACCTATTTATCAACACTTTACATTACAACCTCTATACACCTATTCATCATCTCTTTACACTACAACCTCTCTACACCTATTTATCAACACTTTATACTACAACCTCTATCAACACTTTACAATACAACCTCTATACACCTATTTATCAACACTTTACAATACAATCTCTATACACCTAATTATCAACACTTTACACTACAACCTCTATACACCTGTTTATCAACACTTTACACTACAACCTCTATACACCTATTTATCTACACTTTACACTACAAACTCTATACACCTATTTATTAACACCTTTCACTACCTCTATACACCTAATTATCAACACTTTCCACTACAACCCCTATCAACACTTTACACTACAACCTCTATACACCTATTTATCAACACTTTTCACTACAACCTTTATACACCTATTTATCAACACTTTACACTACAACCTCTAAACACCTATTCGTCAACACTTTACACTACAACCTCTATACACCTAATCATCAACACTTTACACTACCTCTACACACCTATTTATCAACACTTTACACTACAACCTCTATCAACACTTTACACTACAACCTCTATACACCTATTGATCAACACTTTACAATACAACCTCTATACACCTATTTATCTACACTCTACACTACAATCTCTGTACACCTATTTATCAACACTTTACACTACAACCTCTATCAACACTTTACAATACAACCTCTACACACCTATTTATCAACACTTTACACTACAACCTCTATACACCTATTCATCAACACTTTACACTACAACTTCTATACACCTATTTATCAACACCTTTCACTACCTCTATACACCTATTTATCAACACTTTACACTACAACCTCTATCATCACTTTACAATACAACCTCTATACACCTATTTATCAACACCTTTCACTACCTCTATACACCTATCTATCAACACTTTACACTACAACCTCTATACACCTATTCATCAACACTTTACACTACCTCTATACACCTATTTATCAACACTTTACACTACAACCTCTATACACCTATTGATCAACACTTTACACTACAACCTCTATACATCTCTTTATCAACACTTTACACTACAACCTCTATACACCTATTCATCAACACTTTACACTACCTCTATACACCTATTTATCAACACCTTTCACAACCTCTATACACCTATTTATCATCTCTTTACACTACAACCTCTATCAACACTTTACACTACAACCTCTATACACTTATTTATCAACACTTTACAATACAACCTCTATACACCTATTTATCTACACTTTACACTACAATCTCTATACACCTATTTATCTAAACTTTACACTACAACCTCTATACACCTATTTATCAACACTTTACACTACAACCCCTATACACTTATTTATCTACACTTTACACTACAACCTCTATACACCTATATATCAACACTTTACACTACAACCTCTATACACCTCTTTATCAACACTTTACAATACAACCTCTATACACCTATTTATCAACACTTTACACTACAACCTCTATCAACACTTTACACTACAACCTCAATACACCTATTTATCTACACTATACAATACAACCTCTATACACCTATTCATCAACACTTTACACTACAACCTCTATACACCTATTTATCATCTCTTTACACTACAACCTCTATACACCTATTTATCAACATTTTATACTACAACCTCTATCAACACTTTACAATACAACCTCTATACACCTATTTATCAACACTTTACAATACAATCTCTATACACCTAATTATCAACACTTTACACTACAACCTCTATACACCTATTTATCTACACTTTACACTACAACCTCTATACACCTATTTATTAACACCTTTCACTACCTCTATACACCTAATTATCAACACTTTCCACTACAACCCCTATCAACACTTTACACTACAACCTCTATACACCTATTTATCAACACCTTTCACTACCTCTTTACACCTATTGATCAACACTTTACACTACAACCTCTATACACCTATTTATCAACACTTTACAATACAACCTCTATACACCTATTTATCTACACTTTACACTACAATCTCTATACACCTATTTATCTACACTTTTCACTACAACCTATATACACTTGTTTATCAACACTTTACACTACAACCTCTATACACCTATTTATCAACACTTTACACTACGACCTCTATACACCTCTTTATCAACACTTTACACTACAACCTCTATACACCTATTCATCAACACTTTACAATACAACCTCTATACACCTATTTATCTACACTTTACAATACAACCTCTATACACCTATTTATCAACACTTTACACTACAACCTCTATACACCTATTCATCAACACTTTACACTACAACATCTATACACCTATTCATCAACACTTTACACTACAACCTCTATACACCTATTCATCAACACTTTACACTACAACCTCTATACACCTATTCATCAACACTTTACACTACAACTTCTATACACCTATTAATCAACACCTTTCACTACCTCTATACACCTATTTATCTACACTTTACAATACAACCTCTATACACCTATTGATCAACACTTTACACTACAACCTCTATACACCTATTCATCAACACTTTACACTACCTCTATACACCTATTCATCAACACCTTTCACTACCTCTATACACCTATTTATCAACCCTTTACACTACAACCTCTATACACCTATGTATCAACACTTTACAATATAATCTCTATACACCTATTGATCAACACTTTACATGACAACCTCTATACACCTATTTATCTACACTTTTCACTACAACCTCTATACACCTATGTATCAACACTTTACAATATAACCTCTATACACCTATTTATCTACACTTTACACTACAACCTCTATACACCTAATTATCTACACTTTTCACTACAACCTCTATACACTTGTTTATCAACACTTTTCACTACAACCTCCAATATATATGGACATAAGCTTAAGAACTTTATAGCATCTTTTTGTGAGAACACTGCCACACACTGTTAATACACATTTAAGCAGTAATATAATAGTCAAGCATATATATAGCATCATAAAACTTTTACTTCAGACATGATTATATACTAAAATTGGAGTGCACAAGAATGATATATTACAATAACATTTTTTTCTTACGATATATTTATTTCAATATTGTTGTTTTGATAAACAAGTTTATAATGTTTATTGCTGGGATCATTGTCTAATGAGCAGCTAGGGTCATTTTGAGGTAGGCTCTCCATGTTAAAGCTGGTGACTACCTCGCTGAACAACATACAGGAGGCCCATCACAGACAATCCTAAGCCAAAAGACATGACATCACAGAATAATGCCATCTCAGCTTCCTTACCTGTGAAGCTATCAAATCTCCACACCTTGGGACTTCACCAGAGGTTAAGGAGTTTGATGCTCTGCCAACTATCACTGTTTGTTGAGAATTATAGTACAAACTACTGGAATAACTGCCTTACCTAGCCTTTCAACCATCAGCACTTTCCGATTAAAATGTATATGTTTGTAGACATCAAATTTCTGGCAGTAGTCCTGAATGTACTTGGCCATGTCAGTGTTGTGGGGGAAGTCCGGAGTATCCTCCGGGAATGGATAATCGGAGAAACAGTAGTTGTATTTGGATACATTTCTGGAAAAAAAAAATCATCTGTTTTAACTTGCCGGGTTAAGATTTTATTTGGTAGACAGACTCTAGACTATTTCCAGATCGAAGTATTGGAGTATAGCCTGCAGTTTATTTAGGTAAATAGATTTGGTTTTGTCCAGTTTAAGTACAATTGAGTTTGTAAAAACATGGATCCAAGAGAGCATGCGAATGAAATCCTAGCATGACCTATCCAGTACATCTCTCTTAGACAAAAAAAAAAAAAAAAAAAAAAACGATTTCAAACTATAACATTAAAATTCAAGGAAAGCAATCTATTGTTCATTTAAAAAGAAAATGACCACCTGATCAGTCCAAAAAATTGACAATGACTAGGAGTCAAGGTGAACCTACAACTAAAATTTGAAAATTATCCCAATTCTAACTATAAAATCCAGGACCAAGATGGCCACAGACATAAAGGAGATTTTATTTCCCTTGTCAGTCCCAAAATAAGCACTGCACAGCTATATAGAAAGGTCATATATGGGAAACCTATGAGGGGAAAAAATGAAAATGATCCACTTATATATATACCTCTGAAGAAATAATGATAATCTACACTTGTGATAGTCATCTGTAAACCATTCTACTTTTCAAATCTGTCCTGAAATACAATACATCCAGGGAACATAGATAAAGAAAACTCAACCCAAAAATACAGCAAGAATTGTTTACTAGGGACGGACGACATATATACCACAAACAAATGACAATTTGAACCATCCAACATGATGTCTCATTAATATACAGGAAGATTCACAATATATCAACAAACGACATACCCGGGTATCTAAAATAATTGTAAGTATTTTAAAATGGGAGATAACTCCTACATGTGTCTGAGTTGCATAATAACAAAGTCAGGCATCGAGTTTAGACAAATAAAATTAAATGAATTATCTTGTGAGTGTGGATACACATGGGTGTGGTACTTGTCTATACAGATTGGGTTATTTTGTGTATGTGTATACAGATATACCTGTCAGTGTCACCTGACCATGGTGTACACCTGATAAGTGACATACCTTGTTATAGTTATTTACCTATCTTTAATCTACCTTTACGTACATGTTGAATGTCAAATGCCCTTTAAAACATCTTTATCAAAAGGTTTACTAGTCTAAGGCGTACAACAAATTAGCACTAAATCTATACATAAATATACAGGTTAAACTCTTACTAATTTAAATGTGAATAAAAATTTATTTCACTGTCTTAAATGTCTGACATAATTTTGCACTGCTGCTTTATATATATTATCTGTAATCAGGATTTCATGCCATTAGTTAAAAGGAAATAAGTTTTCTGTAACATCTTTACAAAATTTGGCATCAGAAGGTCAAAAATACAATTTTAAATAATTAACTTTATTCAGACAGTCAACATTTTAACCAAACATGATTGCAGCTATTACAGTGTAACATCTGTGTATCTGTGTTACCGCTATATTGATCTGGAAGTTCATCACTCTGAACTTCGAAACATCTGTTAAAAGAGATGTGATCACCCAAGGCCTGCATCATTCACTTAGTGTAAATCTGTTTTTCACATACATTTTTATAGCATTGATCAAAGGTCTAAATCCGATTGAATTCAATTAACTTCATAAACTCTCTAGGTCAAGAAACCTGGCAGTCAAATATAATGAATCTAGGCCTTTTTGGTTTGGTAAATTAGAAGAATTTGTTTGAGTGCATTAAGAGTATGACCCTTTAGACCTTTAATACCTATGGGTCTTAATCAAGATCTTTGTCTCTGCAAACATTTTGTTCAGCTTAATGCCAGGAACTTTCAACTCAAATACATTCTAAATGCTTGTTTTCGGTGTTTGACGAAAGGAAATTTGACCCCTGTGACCTTGAATCAGAGGTCAAGGTCAGTTAATGGGCTTCATCCTAGCCAAACTTGAATGACCCTGGAACTCTGTGTTACTCACAAGATGAATGATGAAGGGAAAAGAGATACTGCTACATGGTTATACTACTGTATTATAAGTCAATAATCATGGTATATAGAGGGTGAAGAAAGACGAAAGTGGCGAGCCTCCAGTGACATTGATTAAAAATCAGACTACTGAAAACAAACACATTGGTTGTGCAATCTGTGTTTACCTGACATCTATCTTACAGTGATGATTGATGGACACTAAAATAATTGCTCTGTATGGAAACATAGTTCCAAACTTCATCAGATATAACATTGATTTCATGAATTTTGAAAATCAACTTGTGCATTACAACACGTAAAATCACTTCTTTCAACAACTTTTTATATTTCTAAATATAATATTTAAGTAAATTCAGATAGGAATTTGTCGAATTATCACACATGCTAAAATACAGCTGTTTTCCATGACTGCCGAATACAGCAAAAATATATGTGGCAGGTGTATTCCGACAATGACAGTGCTAGTTGTAGGATAAAATCAAACCAGTGACTCGGAATGATTCCTGAACAGAACGAACAAAGAAAGCACATCTGTGAATAGAGATTAATCAGACTTTATAGTACAGTGTATTATATATGTTTTCACCGAGATTGTCAAGTACAATGAATCTAAAATTCAGTTACAACAGTTTAAACAGACCAATGTTGAAGAAAGGCCCCATCTATAAGCCACACAGAAGGTTTCATATACCAGGGCAGTATGAAAAGCTGAACTGAATGACCCTGACTAAGGATAATTTTGTACCAAGTTAGGAATCTATTACACCATCCATTCTTGAGAAAATAAAAAAAAGTCTCAGCCAATCAGAAGCCAAGGAGACCATTTTGGTGTTTTTGATCCATACCAAAAACAACAACACTTGTGCAGGACATCATGATGATCATTTGTACTAAGTTGAAAGTCAATGGCATAAGCCATTCTTCGAAGATGTCAAAAATGTCTTGGTCAATCAGGAGCCACGGCGATCATATTGAATCAACATCACTTATGAGGATGTCATGATGATCATTCGTACCAGCGTCAAGTCCTACAACTCTTGTAGATATGAATAAATTCCAATGGTTATCAAATCCATGTGATATCTTGTGTACATAAATCCATACACAAAATTTGGTGAAGATCTGACTGAAAATACACAGTGTACTGAAAAGAACAAAATAGCATATTTTCAGCAATCAAAGTCCCATAACTTTTGTAGATATGAACACATTCCATTGGTTATTGAATTTATTCAATGTTTTGTGTACGTTAACATTAAACAAAAAGTATATATTTGGCATTAAAAGTCCTGTAAACTCTTGCAAATATTGATGGATGACACTGGTTATTGAACCCAAGTCAGGTATCATGGATTTAAAACCACATACAAATTTAGTGACAATCCGACAACAAATACACAAGTCATTATGTGAAGAGCAAAAATGGACAGACAGACGGACAGGCAGACCAGCTGATTTATACAGGACACCCACATCTCCATACAGGGCCCTTATAAACTGATTGTCTTGTGTCAGTGATGTTGGCAGTGACTTTGATAGGCAACTGAGATTATATTATCCTCCTACATTTGGTGTCTGTCTAAAGTCTGTTGTCTGTCATCTGTCCATCTCCTTGTCTGTCTGTAGTCAACTTTTTCCTTTAAAATGACTTCTTGTTAACAGCTTTCATGTTTTATCCAATCCTTTGCAGTGTGATATTCGCGAACATGCTGGGGTGAAAAGTTTCAGACCTGTTGAATCTTTTTATTAACAGTATTCAAAAGTAGTTTGTCTAAAGACTTTCAATCTGAGATGACATTTGTTCCATTGAAAGTGGGTCAAGGACATTCACTTAAATGAACCTTAAAGATATTCATCCCAGCATGGTAAAGTTCAAACATATTAAAAGCCTATGAGTTATTCAGAAGATATTGCATGAAGATTGATTTTAAAGCCAGCCAAGGTCATTTATCTGAAGAAACTGAGCAGCTGATGACCATTCACCCCAGAATGTTACTTTGCCCAATATCATTCTGTATGTCCCTGTACCTTTTGGTTTCCTATGCAGGAGATCCAAGTTATTAGAAGATTTTGACACATTTGAACCCACTTGACCTGTGACCTAAAAAATAATCGTTATTCAAGGTCATTCAATTAAATAAACTTTATTGCTCTTCATTCTAGCTTGTTATTTGTTAGATATCATGAAAATCTGGGCCTTTAAAGAATTTGGACAAGGCTGCTTGATGATGTAACCCTAGAAAGAACTTATCTTCAGCTTGATTGGGTAAGCATCAGACATCAGAGTTCCCCGGTTTGAATCCTTGCAAAGGCATTGAATTAAATAATGACCTCTGTTACAAGGATTTAAACATACACATCACTGACCCCTGTAACCTAGGAAGTGGATCATGGTTAGTTATTTGAACCTATGTAATACTCATTTACACCACAACATACCACTGACTTTGCTCTGTAGGCCTGTTGGTTATTAAAAGGAACTTCTTCGGAAATATTGATGGCAGACAGACTGATATTCCAGTAAGTTGCACTACTTTATCATGTCAGGCCAGAGGATTGATAAGATAAGGGCAATCACATTTGTTCAAATGAATGGCATTGGAATTCTTCAGCTTACATGGGTCACTTAAATGTATCACAATCTCCAAACAACTTCTGAATTTCTCTTGGAACATATTTGTGTTAGTGGCACATAAATTAGTATAAAATGAGAGTTTCAAAGTCTTTCAACAAAGACCAGGGTCCTGATGAAGCCCAGAGAGGGCGAAACTGGTAGGTGGTTAATAATAAACATGAAAACACTACTCTGAAGCTGTTGTGATTGATACTCTGTGCCTGATTTTCTCTATTGCTCAATCACCCTGTAGACTCTCTGGTATACAACTGAAGAGTAAAGGAACCTAACACCCAACCTACCTAACAGCGTTGACTCTACTACCTAAATCCTTCTATACATAAATAAGCTGGGAAACATAATATGTGTAGCACAATAAATTTTCCTCTGGCTCTTAATAAAGATGTTGAGACATTTTAAT